GGTTACGCCATTGGGCTTCGCTGGGGGGGGTTTGGCGCAGGCACGCCTTTTTACCCCCCACCTAACCCCCCCCCCCCCCCCCAACGCCCCCCCCCCCCCCCCCCCCCCGAACATGGAACTCGAGCTTAACCTTGGGGGGGTCCCCAAAAAACAACAGAGCCATCACCACCAGGATCCGCAGCGGGGACTTCCCGCCGGACCCGGACGGTGACTTCGGCCCCAACGGCGCGTTCCGGACCGGAACGCACATCACGCTGTGCCCGCAGTTCTTCGACCTCAAGCCGCTGGGCGAGATCGCACCCATCACGGCCGGCGTGCGCATCGACGACCGCATCAACCGCGGCATGGTCATTCTGCACGAGTTGATGCACGCTTACAGCCGGGGGATCAGAGGTGAGGGTTATTTATGCACACGGGAATAATTTGACTCGGTCCTCTCCGTCCCTTGGCGCTGACAAGAAATATTATTAATTGCAGATGGCGGCTACGGCTACGGCGGCTGCGTCGACGTCACGTACAATGATATCGCGTCCGGCCATGATAACGTCAAGCCTATCGGTAATGCGGATACTTTTGCCCTTTTTGCGCTAGGTATATCACTTCTGTCCTTTCATCCTCCACCTGCCTTGAAAACAACTTGCTGACAGCCGTGCTCAAGGTGTGTCCGAGGTTCAGAACATGGACGACTGGGAATGGACGAGTGGCGCGGCCGTGGACCCCCTTAACTGATGTGGAGGGTGGGAAGTGGTCTTGTCCGACACGTGGAGATGCTTACAAGGGAGAAGATGTGGCTGCTGAGTGTGAAAGCTGGGGTTTAAGATGTGAAGCTGAAGTTGTTGGATGTGTGTTATGGTTGTGTAATAGCACACAGAGAATATGATTGCAGAGACGTGGAAGAAGTCTCCTTGATAATTTTTCACCCCCGAAAATGGTGTCTTTGCAAGTTGAACACAGAGTCCTATGATCGGAGCCCGAAACCGTTGATCCGTGAAGGAGTTTCCAAACCTGGATGCTGGATTCTTGGGCTTATTGTTGCGCTTATTGCTGCCACTTCGCTGTCACTCCAGTGTTTTCCGGTGATGGAAACTATTACGCGGTAGACGCTCAAACGGTCAAATTTTAGGAGAGAGTTACCCACTATCATTCTTGGGGGACTTATGCTACGGAGAGAGCATGCCGAGTACTTGAAGGTCAACCTTGAGGCGTCATGAGAAACGGGAATTGTGGGAATAGCTAGAACCCGAGTACATGCTGGGTTGCCAAGCTGCTTCAATTGATGGACCTCCACTGCTAGTTGATCGCCCTCTGAAGACCTTCTCGACCTTCTTCTTGCCCCGTGCTACTCCTAGCCGTAGTACGACTGAATGTAGTACTTCTCATGATCACTGCCATAATCCCAAGTCCACTGACCCCCATTTCTCCCAGATCCCTGCACGCACTGGGCGATAATGTTGTTGAAGGCATCCTAAAGTCAAAATATTAGCGGAAAGGCCCTCTCCCAATACGCAGAGTGTGTCATGCCTACCCAGCAGTGGAGCTTCTCGGTGCCGGTGTAGCTCGCCTCGACGACCCTGCGGTAGTAGTTGGGGAAGCCGGTGTCGCCAAACACGAGGCTCGCAGAGGGCCCGTAGTTGCAGACCTGGGCGGCCGTCTGCTGGTACTCAGTGACGGAAAACCCGGCGTTGCCGCTGCCGTAGCAGTCCGCTGCCAGGGCGGCGGGGAGGGCCAGGAGGCCGAGGGTCAGGGCGCGGAGAGACACCATTGTGAGAATCTAGGGGTTTTGTAACTTTGTTGGCTTTGCTGTGGTTGTTTGGTGGAACTTGGGAAGGGGTGGGAGGGCAAGTATCGTCTCTGGCAGTACGGTTTATAGATGTTCGCAATGGCTGGGCGTAGCAAGAGACTAACAAGAGAGGGTGTGTAAAGTCACTTAATAATCCCAGCCTGCAAGAAGCCGGATTAGTTCGACAGCACACTCGACGTTGTTCGGTCAAGCCTCCTCGTGTGATACACAGCCATCGGGCCGATGCCCAACATGGGGCTCGCTGAGTCCTCTCGAAGATGTGTGAACACAACATTGGGCATCGTGTGCCAACTGACAACTGACTGCTGGCTTTGATTTGAGAATTCCAGAACTAGCCGCATATGCTTGGGTGTTAATCATCAAGAGCATGGGGGATGAATCAGCAATTTGAGCCTGATTGAGATTTTTCACCCCCTGGATGTAACTGTGATGAATGCTACTAATGCAATCTCAGCACATATCTAAGCCACAAGCTGACTGCATTGGGGTGGGGGTTCCTCTCCTGTCTGAGATGGAGGTTCGGGCTTACAGATATGTCTGTTGTACTGGTAGCAGAGTCGGATGGACATATGCCTGAACCCTGCACAGCTCTCCAGCCAGCACCTGTGATCTATCTAGAGCCCATATATACGACCTAGCACAACTCACTTACCATCCATCCCCCAGCAAAACCAACTTCAGCCTCCCACCGTCTTCTTGACAACCAACATCTTCACTCTTGATCCTCGCCCACAATGCGTTCCACCATCACGCTACTGCCCATCCTGGGCCTCCTCTCCGGACTGGCCCTCGCAACACCCGCTCCCGTCGTGGCCACCCTCGCCGCCCCGACTCACCTCGTCGGCGAGCCGCTGGCCGCCGACAGTGTCAACGCCACCGAAGTTGGTAGGCGCACTGTTGCTGAGCCTCCGCACCTCACCGTGGCATTGGTTTCGGCGGATGCGGTTAATTCCACCTCCGCGGGCGTCGTGAAGCGGGCCATCGAAGCGGTAAGTGGTCGGTATGCTCTGCCTAGCTTGGAAGGGGGCTAATATGATGAGGTTCTACAGGCTAAGCTTCTTGTTTGGTCTCGATGAGGCCACTCGGTATTGCGGCCTAGGTCGGGGCCTATCTGGCTGGGGGACAGCTACCGTGCGGTGTGAAGAATGCAATGAGGAGGGTTCTGGGCTGAAGCAATGAAATTGGAGGGTGCAAGTACAGAGTGTTGAGGCACTCTGCTAGACTGTTTGGCTTCTGGAACATGGTGCCTGTTATGGTCTTTAACGGTTCATGATCTGCTACCAGTATATTTTGGCCGACAATCTTATTAGAGAGAGCGAAACGGAAGGCCCTGTTCAAAAACTATGGAGCTTGTAACAGTGCCAAACCCGAAGACTCCTAAGTCAGTTCAGAAGTTCACTCCATGCCAGGGTTTCCTCTGCTCTGCCCATTATTCGCAATTGGAAAGATGGTTCACCCCTTTTGCATGATCACTCGCTTTCCTTCCCACCTCGGGGGTATCCAAGATGTTGGAGCCAATGTAAATACATCGGAGACGGGAGCACAAAATCAGAGCCCAGAACTGACCCTCAATACCGCTCATGGAGGGAAGAATATGGCAGAGAATGGTGAGGCATTAACAGCACCAGATACTCTAGTATTTACAAGTAGGTTAACAGCCAGAGGCAAAGGACCTCGGACACAAGAAACGGTCCTATCCATTTAGAACGGAGGATATTTCCAAGCACTCGTCCTTATCACTCGACAGACTTGACAACGCCGACCAGCAGCTTCTTGCTAATCACAATTGATAAATGTTTCAGCCCACCCTGCTCCGCCCTCATGCCCCCGAGAACACCATATCACATATCAGTTCTATTGTTACCGCCCTCCCAGAGATACCAGGCCCCGTGGCCTACATGCCACCTTTCAATACCAATATTTCGTTGAGTAAGCGCTCTGCATTAGTAGCCTCTTCTGGCACTCCAGTGGTGGCTGCCCCTCGGCCATCCACTCGGCACCTTGAAGTCACAGGTCCCCCAGCCAGGCACTCCTACGGCACTAATTCCCTATTAGAAACGCAGGGTTGCGGTGGCGGCAATGGTCAGTAAGCCAAGTACTCCCACGTACCCAGGTCACAGCCTATCCACCACGATTGGTGCCAATCCATCATGAGTGACGAACAGTTTAAAAGAGCGAACGTCCCGCGCCAAAGAAAGATTATAGCAGCAATTGACACACTACAATCCGGACAATATCGTCAGAATCATCCATCACTGATTTTTGGAGAGCCTGCGTCCTCCTAATATCTCATCAATCCGAAAATGCGTGTTGTACTCGCCATCCTCATCTCGGCGGTCCTGGCCGCGGCTTCGCCTTCCGTGAAGTGGCCACCGAAGGATCTCACTCCCGAGGAGAATCTGGGAAGTGTGGGCCTGAACTTCACCCTCATGTCTCGTGATGAGTATCTGGAGAAGCGCCAGCCCGGTGGTGTGAGTATCCCCAGAAATACCTATGAACCTGTCTTCTTTCCTTGGAGCCACTGGTGTTAACTGCCGCGTCAACCGGGCGCCTTAGGTCTACATCTGTACGGACATTAATTGGGGTGGCACTTGTGGATATGCCAAACAGCCGTGGAATCTGTGCATTCAACTTGACTCTCCCTGGTAAGTAATTAGCAAAGGAAAGGGGGAAAACCATGCGATCCTTAACACCGGCTCAGGTACCATACCATCTCGTCGATCGGCCCGGATGAGTACAACGCCATTGTTGCCTACTCGTAAGTTCTTCACTTTGTAATGACTTCTCTCGTCAGCTTTCAGGAGACTAACTCGCTTCCTACCACCTCCTGCAGGGACTACAGCTGCGGATCCTCAGCCCAGCTAGCCATCTTCAATCCAGGCTATGTAAGTTCCCCTTCCCCCCTCCACAATCGCGTAGATGAGACCATGTATTGCCCAGAGCATGGTTGCTGACTCGAAACTGCACATCCACAGCCCGACCTGCGCCCCGCTGGCTGGAACGACCGCATTGGCAGCTTCAGGGTCTTGCAGATCCCCGGCAAGAACTGCCTCGGCGCATCAGACCTGGACAGCTCGTATTTCCGCACATCGACGAATTGCAACAGCTGCTGCAATGGCTGCAACAGGAGCGGCCAGGACTGTTGTCCCGATGGGCTGTTCTGCTGAACTTCTGTGCTGGAATGAAGGGTGATATGTTCAAATGTTAGGGACTTTCAATGATTGCTGATGAGGTCAGATTGGGCTGTGTTTGTGTCCGGTTAGTGGCAATTAATTTGCTTTGAAGGTCGTGTGCTTCGCACAAGGTCCCTCTATTGAAGCCCAGTATCACTACAGCATCGACAGGCATGTATCCAATGAATACAAGAGAAAATTGCGTAAACGAAGTCACAGAATTAGCTCCTGTGTTCCGTGTGCTACGCTAAGATGCAAATATTCCGACGTTCCATAACAGACCGGCAAGACTCTTGTGTGCTGCGGCCCGACCGAATCTCACACCCCAAACAAGGTATTCACTCATACATAGCCCACCCCTGAATCAGCTGCGGTTAATGCCACGACAAGCCGGCCGCAACGTCAAGTCACCCGACCAAGCCAAGTTATCACGCTTCCTCAGCGTGACAAATGCAATGCCAGTCCTTGACAGTGCCTTCTTTCCTGCATGGCGGGGGATCCGGGGTACCATAGAATGCTTCTCCACACTCGCCGAGTCCTTCCCGAGGTCACCGAATCTACGATCTGTTGAAGCTTGATAAACCGCTTATTCACGCACTCCAGGCAGCAGAAACTGTGCCAGCGACCAACATGTTGCTGCGGCAAAGTAACCCCAGTCTTTGCCACTAGGTAGAAATAAGCCAGGACACGTTGGCCGGCTTGGATCATGTTTGGTTCGATGAGTCAGTCACAACGGTTGTGGCCTCCGAGGTGGGAATAGTGCTGAGTGGCTTAATGCTATGTCCCAATCGGGCATCTCCTGTTCTTGTTCCAATGGTTAAGATTTCTGATATTGACATTTTGAACTGGATTGTAATGAGGGATCAACATATAAGGTCCCTTATCCCAGTTGAGAAACACAACACTGCCCACAAGGCTATTCCAGATCTCAGCAGCCTTTTCTTCTAACCCCTGATCCATCTACGCTAACATTATCGTGCTTGAAACCCGCACCCACGCACCATGCGTACCTCTATTCTATCTTTTCTCCTTATCCCCCTTGTGGCGGCCCTGCCTTCCCAGGCCACGCCGCGGGATCTCACCGAGGCAGAGCTTCTCGAGAAGCGCAACACAAACGAAGGCGTCTACCTGAGCAACTGCTGGGTATGTATTCCCCAGCGCCCATGTGAGCACAGCCGACTGACACTGTTACCACCCCACCGCAGTTCTACTCTCTCGGCGACTGGGCCTCGGAGATGGAATACTACAGCAACGCCAGGTCGGGCTCCCAACACGGCGAACTGCCCAACGACACCACCACCCTGAGCTCCACGTCGCGCGTCACCTGGGAGGGGGTCCAGCGCTGCGGGTACTACTCCTCCTCGGGCGTGACGTTCTGCTCGCAGATCGCATCGAACGCTGCCAGTCTTGTAAGCTTCACACCAAATAACTCCTTGATTATATCCCGAGGAAACCGCAAGGTTGTCTAACGGTTCGGGTTACTCTAGGTGACTGGCCAGTACGCCGGTCCCGGTTGGAACAACGCTCACGGCTTCGACTGCTACAAGGACAACGGCCGCGTCCTGTTCAGGACCAGCAGTGGCAACTTCAACCAGAATGAAGAGTGCTACTCCATCTACTATTGCTTCTCTGTTAGTACGATGTCTCGTTGAGGAAACTGTCCTTTACCGCTAATCTTTTTGTAGCAAGCTTGAAGAAATTCATAATTAGGTCCGGGATATGGTTGAGCTTCGTCATGGTGGAGATTTCCCGAGTTCAAATTGTACGACTCCTTTCAAGCTTAGAGTCAAAGACAAACGACTGTGAGGCGTAAATACACAAAGCATCGCAAGCAGATCCAGTCTTTCGCCTGGGACATTCCTCCTCCCCTTTCTGCCAAGGCTGTCGAGGCAATTCTTCGGTCCAACGAGAATCCCTCTCTAATTCTGGAAGCAGTAGTAGATGGAGTAGCACTTGAAGCAAGTTAGCGCTAAATCAGTCGCTCGGAATCCCAGTCAACTTACCGTGTGCTGAAGCTGGGCTCCTTCCGGCACGTTGTACAAGACACGATTGTTGTCCTTGTAGCAGGCTGTAGAGCTGGTCAGACCCGGACGTGCTTCTTATCTGCGCATGCCAATACCCCGAAAAGGGCAACCGAAACTTACAAAAGGTAGCGCCATAGCTGTTCGAGCCCGAGCCAGCGTACTGCCCGGTAGACTATTCCATTGGGACTCTAGTTAGTTCGACCTGGTGACGGAAAACCCCAAGTAACAACCGGAGAAGAGGGCGGAAAAGAACATACCAGGCTCTGAGCCCCATTGGCAATAAGCGAGCAGAAAGTCGCGCCCCTGCAGAAAAAGGAAAGACGGCTTAGCAAGTCAAGTTGGGGCTGGGGCACCCGGGCAAGCGTGCACTCACGTATCGGAGTAGGTGCCGCACCGCTGGTGGCCCTCCCAAGTGACGACGTTGGGGACGCCGTTCGTCGTGGACGGCCATGCGATGTCGTCGGGTAGCTGGCCGTTCTGGGTGGGGGTTGGGTGGGCGCACAGTCAGCCCACACCCCGAAACAGGAAGGGGGTTTGGGGGAGGGGTATGTGCATACCTGGGAGCCGGATCGGGCGTTGTTGTAGTAGCTCATCTCGCTGTAGCTTGTCGTGCCTCTGGTCACGCAGTTGGCGAGGTAGACACCGTTGTTGGCCCGCTTCTCCAGGGGAAGGGCCGAGCCGAAGGCCATGGAGACGAGCCCGGAGGCCAGGAGGATCGCGGACGAGAGCATTTTTGGTTGGGAACGTAAGTTAGATATGAGTAGCTGGTACTGTGTTGTGTCTATCTGTGCCTATGTCAGAGGCAGGGGACCCTGCTCTTCCCGGCCGGTCTTTATAGCTCTGGTGCTGACCGGGGAGCAGTCGGTACGTCTCGGCGATAGAATGGGACCCTAGCTAGGCCTGCCTGCTTCTGAGTTACTAACCAAGCATCGCAATGGGGTGAGCGGGGTTGAGTGGTCACTTGGATCAGTGGAATCGTGGCAGGGGTGCAGGCCAAGAAAAGGCCCTTTTCCTTCGCGCGCCCCATCAACGTGGTCGTCGTGGTGATAAGCTTGGACAAGGAGATGAATCAGCCCGCTTTCGGAACGGTCCGCTTGACGTGTCTCTAGCTCTGAAGATCAAGAGTCTTGGCTCATCGGCTCGTCAACTGACGTTGGGGTCCGGCGTTTAACCTTACTCAGCTACCCTCCCCGCGTCTCTCTGATGGGATGACGTGAGATTCATGCCAATAGTCCGGATCGTATGCGGACTAGGCTGAGAGCAAAACTGGAGCTGCCGCCCTCCATTTTAACTTCCCTACACTGGAAGGACTGGGCCTGTGTTACCATTGGGACCATGGCATATTCTTAGTGCTCGAGATACCAGTCTGCTATCAGGTCTCACCCTCAACACGCCCCATCTTGAGCCAATTCCAGTCCGTGGCCATAACCTCGGGGACGGGAATGGTGGGACACTACTTGATGAACCGCATAGGGGTTGTCTCGTTGTCTCGTTGGGACTGAGCCGGGCGGCCGAGGTCGTGAAATTGGTGAACGAGTTGCCGTGACGCACCGCGGATCACCCATGCCGCTGGTGCATGATAATTATTCCCTTCTGGTGGGGGCGCGACATCTCGCACTTCAGGCTGGGTCCTTGTATGTGCAATACATATCTCTTCGGCCATTCTCCGTTGGCTCCTCGTCCACACAGCTGATGACAGGGCACTAACAGTCTTGCCAGCTGGTGCAGTGGTGCACCTAGTGGTGGGTAACCCTAACCCTTCGGCGTCGCATTTGCCCGACTACACTCCTCGGTGAGATCATGAGATTACCCTGTGCTACACATAAACCCCGGCTTCTATCTCTTTCGCACTCAAATTCTTGTTGATCAGACTTGTCGGACACGACTGAGAGCAGCGACAGTCATGACGACGAGATTTCCGTCCAGAGCCCTAGTGCTCGCCTCGCTCGCCGCCTGCGGCATCATCGGGGGGTACAGCACAATGATCGCGGGGTCCAAAAATGGATTCTTTGAAGCCATTGGAGCCTGTGCCCGGGGAACGACCGGAGAGCCGTACATCCCGGGAGGTCCGGCGCCGTTCAAGACGAGCTACACGGGCATTTCTGCCGTTGACAACCAGTTGTTGGTTCTTGTCACTTTCTTTGCGACTCTTATCGATGGCGAAAAGAGCTGGGCTGTCAGGCTGTCCTTGTGGTATCTCATGGTTCAGCTCTGGGCCGGGTGGTCCCTCCTATCGCTCGAGGGGCTTAGGAAGGGCAATAGAGGGAGGGTTGTGAGTTGGTGAGTCTAGCTCCTTGTTCCGCTCCCCCCCTTCCGAGGAGAACGGAAGCTGACGGCTCATCAGGACCGGAACTATGGGCATCATCTTCCAAAACATCTCATACACCATTACCGTGCCCATCTACCTCATGATCCACCTTCTCACGTCGCCACTCGCCCAGCCGACTCCCGGATCCTCGCACCTCTTCACAGTTGACGACCTGGACCTCAAGCTCCTCCCCCTGTGCACCATGGCAGCCCTGGTCATCCCCTCCATTGCCATGGCCCTCCCTTCTCCATCCTACGTCTCAGCATCAACTCACTACACCTGGATCGCCATCTGGCAGGCCTTCCCACTCTGGCAGACCACCCTCCACTGGACACTCAAGCGAATCCTCCCATCCCCAACCGCCCCAACCCCCCGCAAACACCACCACCAAACCCCCACCGCCGCAATCTACAAAATCATCCTCCTCCTCTCCGTCGCAAGCCAATCAACCCTCCTCCTCATCGCCCTCACCCCTCCCACAGCCGTCCCCGAGCAATGGCGCCCCGTCTTCTCGGCCGTCACCGTATCCTCGGCGTTCGTCCCCGCCCCGTTCTGGACACCGCCTACCACCACCGTCACCGCAGCCATCCCCGCCGACGCCCTGCCGCCGCTGGCTCACTTCTTCCTCCAGTGGGATGTCTACTGTGGCGGGGCCGCTGTCCTGCTCTGGGCTGTGTATCTTCGCCGCGCGGCGGGTGGCGGAGGTGGAGGTGGGTGGGGGAGGGCGCTTGGTTGGGGGGTGCTTGGTGGGCCGGTTGCTGCGGCGGCGGTGTTGCTTTGGGAGAGGGATGAGGTGGTTGGGCGGCGTGGGGAGGGGAAGGGTGAGTGAGCAAGTGGCTGCGAAGGTGTGTTTCCTGTGTCCTGTCTGGTTTGTTGAAGCAAGGGGTTGTTTTCAAGACGTTGTTGTATTCCCTCTTGAGAGGTCTTCTAGAGGGTATAGCGGGCCAGCTCCAGAGAGCGTAGAAGGTTGCATCAAGCAAGACTAACCCGGAATACTTTTCCCGCATTTGAAATGAGGATCCAGGCGGACCGTCCAACGGACGGGACATCTGTGGTAGCACAAGCGATTGTGTGCTCGGTCCGGACGAGAGGCCGTGAAATGCTACACCGGGTGCCCGATCTGGCCAATTGAGGCCACACGGCAGCGTGCATTGCCGTCTGTTATCATTAGGCGGAAACATTAGAAAAGGACGCGTGGTTCTCGACGAGTCCAGCTCCGTCTATCTGCCTTCCCCTCCGCTCCACCTGCACCGCAAAGAGCTGTTGCCAGACCCTTCACGGGACTTTGTGTGATTAGCGACTGTGTCATATCGCACGTCTTTTGGCATGTCTGCGTTATTCCCCCAGCAATAGGTAATTACCACGTTGGAATCCCTCCTCTCCTCGCCATGTCCCAGCAGGCGTCGTCGACGACGGTGGCCCCCCGGCCCCCGGAGACCAACGCTGGCATCACCACGTCCTGGCTGCCCATGTCCACGGCATGGGAATCAGGATACCCATCCGACTGGTACATGTGGAATCCCACACAAACAAACCTGGTCGCTTGGGATCCCGATCTTGGGCCGCTCTGCCAGCCTCCGCAGGTCGTGAGCTGGTGGAAGAGTACCTCGGAGGTCGGCAAACGGCTCAGCATCGGGCCTGTCGTCTGTCCAGAGGCATACTCGACCGCGGCCTCGAGCGTGAACCAGCTCGGCAATACGTTTGTGGCCTGTTGTCCCAGGTTCGTGAGCCCGGTGGGAGCCCGTGTGTACTGGCTAGACTCCATTTGCTGAGACGCATATACGTATACACATATATTAGCGAATACATATTTGTTGATATCTACGCCGCAGGTGTGGTAGGGGAGTGCGTCTCGACCCTCGACGAAGGTCAGGTCGTGACGTTGGTGACCCCCATCGAGCAGGGATGGATAGGGACGACATTAACAGTCCTGTCACCATCACTGGCTTTTGCCGTCCACGTGAATGGCTGGCTCTTCCCGCCGTCGACATCCACACGGACGATAGCCACGACGATTTTCCAGACGGCTTTCCAGATGACTTCCCAGGTCACACCCCAGACACCATCTACTAACCACACAGACCTATCCCCCTCACCTCCCGTGACAACCCCAACCTCCTCCGTCCCATCACAGCCCCCCTCAGGCCTCTCCAAAGCCGCCAAGGTCGGCATCGGAGTCGGTCTGCCCCTCGGCGCCGTCGCCATCGGCGCCTTGGTCCTCGTCCTCATCCTGTACCGTCGCATGCGGGCGGCCACCGGGAAGCCCTTGGCGGCGCCTCTGGGCGATGACGTACAGGGCGGCGGAATCCAGCCTAATCTCGATGACTGCCCGGTTGAGAAGTTTGAATTGCCTGGTGGGGAAGGCGCTGGCGGGGTGGAGAGGGCCGAGTTGGCTGTGTCTGAGAGGGTGGCTGAGTTGCCTGGTCATGATGAAGATTAGGGCTAGGTTCGATGTTGGGGAGGGTAGGGGGAGAATTGGGTTGGAATGAAGGGGGTTGGGCAAATGGTAGAGCTATATGGGAAGATCGAGGCTGTTTTACGGGCCGTGGAAGCATGGAGAGCAATGCCTTGTACTACGAGTCTTTTTGGGAACTCTGCTCTTGAGCGGGATGCAGTGTGTCAGGGGTAGGATGAAGACAAGTTGATGAGAAGGTGTATTATCCCAGATCGTACTCGGTTCTTTCTGTTTGTTCTTCAAATTTGATACTACTATTTTGCTGGCGCCTGAAAACTAGAACACCTTTAGGGTAAAATCATTTTGCGAGGTTTCTTCTCGCAACTTCCATCTTCAGACAAAGAACCCCTATTATCTCCATATCGTATCTGGGCCGAATGTGCTCTTTGCACGGATGATTGTGGCGCCGCCACTGTGCCTGAAAAGCCCTGTATGGGACACTATTGAGTGTAAGCGTAATTAATGCTTTCTGGTGGGAAATATCCCCGAGTAGGTTCTCGCGGCGTCACACGGCCAAGCAGTTCAGGTCGTCGCCAACGAGGGTTGGATCGTCAAGAACGCCAAGCACGCCAAGACACATCGTCAACCACCGTGATTGAGGTTCCCTTGACTTCGCCGCAGCCAAACATCCCGTGATCCCAGCACTACTCCGCCATACACCAATATTCGGGTCATATTCGACTGGAATGGGGCGAATAATCAGATTCCGAGACAGAAGCCCGATTTCTAGCGACGTCAAATCTAAGTCACATGTCTCAACCCCATCGGAATGGACGTTGGCCGGGTCTCTCCCTACGACGAAAACCTTAGAACCCACTTCGCGGCCAGGTGGGTCAGAAGCTAGAAGTTTGAGTTGTCCTGCAAGGGGTAAGGTCGATCATGGGGCAGGAAATTAAGCTTTCCATCCCAACGAGACGGGTTTGTAGTTGTGATGGGGTTGCATTCCAGGTACAGAAGACGTGGCAGTGAGGTGGGCATGTGACAACGGCACACACCGCTCGGTTGGTGCAAAAGCTATTGGGGCCGAAAGCGGCAGGAGTGCGATAAACTGACAGCTCAGCTCAGCTCAACTTTGCATCATCCTGCCCTTGCTTGAACGAAAAGGGGAATGGTCCCACAACAAGAGGTACCTTCCGTTGTGACACGCCGCTCCAACGCCGAAAAGTATAATAGTTTAAATGTGGCGGCCCGAAGGAATGGAGATGGACCCTGATCTGAGACATGACCAACCTGCCGGTGCCGCTAAAACGACCGAGTATTTTGACGACCACCGAAATTCTGACAACACAGCAAAGGCAATCAACACAATGCACAACGACGGACACCATGATAGCATGCAGATGTTGAACACCATACAATATTGGTGTCATGACAGGCCCATTAGATGGTTCTATATAATTAAAGTATACTATGTACAGGAATGCGATTATCATATCCACTTTCCCAAATTTCCCAAAAAGTGCCCCATCGTTGTTTGTTCATGAGACACGTAAAGTGACGCGAGGCCTTCGGCCAAGCACACAAAAGACTAGATGGAAAGAACCGAAAAAAGGAACGCGACCCCCATTGCTCGGTCCTTAAAGGAAGGCAGCGGCAACCATGGCGACGGCACCGGCCATCCCGAAGGAACCGGCGACACGGCCAGCAGCGGCGGTGACGGGCAGCTCGCCGGAGGCGGTCTCAGTCGGGGACGGGGGGGCGCTGGGAGCGTAGCTGGTGACGATGGTCTGCGGGGGCGGGCTGGCGGGGTAGGTCTCAACCGGAGGCGGGCTGGCAGGGTAGGTCTCGACTGGGGGCGGGTTGGCAGGGTAGGTCTCGCCGGGACCAGCAGGGTAGGTCTCGCCGGGACCAGCAGGGTAGGTCTCGCCGGGACCAGCAGGGTAGGTCTCGCCGGGGCCGGCAGGGTAGGTCTCGCCGGGGCCGGCAGGGTAGGTCTCGCCGGGGCCGGCAGGGTAGGTCTCGCCCGGGCCGGCAGGGTAGGTCTCGCCGGGACCGGCAGGGTAGGTCTCGCCCGGACCGGCAGGGTAGGTCTCGACAGGGCAGACGGTGGTGGAGATGGCGTAGGTCTTGGTGGTTGTGTAGGTAGAGTTGGCAGGGCAGTTGGTCACTGTCGGTGCGCACGAGGTGATGGTGAGGCATGTCGTGGTGTAGATGGTCGACGTGGTGTACTCAGTGGTACCAGTGGGGTAACCGGTCTGAGTTTCGGTAGGGTAACCAGTCTCGGTCTCGGTAGGGTAACCGGTCTGAGTCTCGGTAGGGTAGCCGGTCTGAGTTTCAGTCCCAGTAGGGTAGCCGGTCTGAGTCTCAGTCCCGGTAGGGTAACCGGTCTCCGTCTCAGTCCCGGTAGGGTAACCGGTCTCCGTCTCAGTCCCGGTAGGGTAACCGGTCTCCGTCTCGGTCCCGGTAGGGTAACCAGTCTCAGTCTCAGTCCCGGTAGGGTAACCAGTCACAGTCTCGGTTCCCGTGGGGTAACCAGTCTCAGTCTCCGTGGGGTAACCAGTCTCAGTCTCGGTCTCGGGGGGGCAACCACTCTCGGTCTCAGTAGGATAACCAGTCTCCGTCTCGGTCCCGGTAGGGTAACCGGTTTCAGTCTCAGTCCCGGTAGGGTAACCAGTTTCCGTCTCAGTCCCGGTAGGGTAACCAGTTTCCGTCTCAGTCCCGGTAGGGTAACCGGTCTCCGTCTCGGTAGGGTAACCGGTCTGAGTCTCAGTGGGATAGCCGGTGGTGGTGCCGGGCGTGTAGGTGGCAGTGTAGGTGATGCAAGAGCAAGCAGAGCTCACGCGGTTGACATCTTGCTCACAGTTCTCGAAGTTGGTGGGGATGGCCTCGGGTGCGGTGGTGGTGCCAGCCAGGAACTGGGGGCAGAACTCTTGGGCCTCACCATAGAAGCGGTCATTGGTCATCTCCCGGTAGCAGTTGTCAGGGTCCTGTTTGGCTTTGTTAGTCGTCACGGTTCTTCGCAGATATCGGGACGGGATAGTCCGAGACTTACGCAGTCGGGATACTCCCAGGCACTGGCGAGGCCCAGGAGGAGGGCCCCCAGAGATAGAGGAGTGGTGCGCATCTTGATGAAAAGCGAGTGACTTGGTCTTAAGCGAGTGTAAGACAGGTGTAGCAAATCAAGGATTTATTACGGATGCAATATAAGAGAGAGACGGACATGAAGGTCTGAGAGAGCGGCAGGCCTTATAAGATAAAGAAAATGTGGTGTGCTGGTTGTCTGTGCGTGCTGGATCCCCCAATCCGTCGGCGGGGGGAGGCAAGAAAATACGAGGTTGCCAATTTCCCACAGTTGGCAGCCGAACTAGGCCAACATCTGGGCCTAACATGGATGACCATGACAAGGATGACAACCATCGGATGGGGTCACCAATCCATGAATCGCTGGATACGAAGTGAAGTGAGAAAAGGGGGAGCGGCCATTGGATGGTGGTGGCTAGTGCGGATGTGCGACAGGGGTAAGGACCAGGTGCCAGGACAACAACGCACCAATCCTGGTACTCGCATACAGCCAAAGAAAAACGAGAGGCGCAGAGTGCTGCAGAGAGGGGGCAGGGGATTTGAGATTTGGGGGATTTGGGGAAGCGCAACCGCAACGGCTGACCCGATTGCCCGATTGCTTAGTTGTCGACCAGAAATGGAAGCACCGACTTCGTACTTGCGCAGTTCACTTGCAGTCACAATCCAATGCCAACCAGTGCCAGTGCACTTGAAAGCGCCCTGCGAATACGGGCCAGGGGCAGAGAGGCAGGATGCACAACCCATTTCCCACTGTACTGCGCACTACCTACCTAGGTAGGTACCGATGCGATGACGAAGACGAAGGATCGTGTCCGGATTGAGTAGGTAAACAGGTAACTCGATGCCTCATTGCCTTCCACTCCGCCGGGACCCGGTTTGTTGTGTGGTTTAGTGGAATGATGAGAAAAGTCGTCCCTCCAAAAACAGGTTTCTCACTGTGACTCGAGGCAGCCCTGCAAGGTTACCCAGGTAGGTAGGTACCTTAGCCTAGACGCTCACGAGAAATTTCTTATTTCTGTAAGGCGGGCCCGCTGGACCCTCCAAAAAGTCTCCACTCAGCGCGTAAAAATAGAGCGGTTGACTCCTCCCGCTTGTGCTCGACTTCCATTTTTATTGGCTCGCCTGGATTTCCTCAGGGACCTGAGGCAGGGCGCGTGGAATGGAATTTAACGTTACGCCCTTGATATCCGTACATCGTCTGTCCTTTGTTCAGTTGGGTGCGCTGGAACTCCCAGCTGGTATTCCCACATTCGTATTTCGCACAAACCGGATAACTAGTTATGCACGGCCAGATGTGCTTGGACCCTTTGGGCGGAGAGGAACGTGAGAAGTTACTTACTTAGTACTCCGGCAGTAGAGTCCGACCTGACCGAGGCACTTGTTCATGTCGGCCTGACACCGGACCAGCTTGACAGGGTCACCCCCGACCCATTTCGACAATGGTCCAGGTCCACGGATTCTGCCAAGACACTCGAATCAGACGTGGCGTGATGTCATTCAATCAAAGAATTTACACGTACTGTGGGATATTTGGAGGTTCACCAAGATCGCCCGACATGGAAAAAGCAAGGTGCTCGTCCTGGTGCCCCATGGTTGGCGGCCAAGTTCTGGCAGGTCCCCGCTTGTTCGTCGTCGAGCTCCTCTTCGTGTCCACGCCATCCGCGTTGCCGAGAAACCGACCACTAGCAATGTCTTCGTTCCCAAGCGGGCTGCTGTACATATTGCCTGGGTAACCAGCCAGCCGGTGGTTCGTTCTCCATCGTGCTACCCAGTTTGCCCAGATGAGTGGAGAGTGTAGAGGAGCCGTGGGTTATTTACATCGTCATCACACCGCTTGGGGAGGAGGATCGGCGACTGGGCAACCATTTGAGGCGTGGGTCGGATGGGATATCGGGCAATCATTCGGGATGGAGACAGTGCTCCCAGAGCCTGGGCTCGACTGGTCTGCACGAACAAGAAACGGATTGTGATTGGGTGACATCATCGAGGAAGTCATTCAATCGTCCCATATGTCGCAGTGGATCTTCACAGATCATCGTTATCGTTCCTGTCCTTGCCCGCTGAAGGGGGAGAGACGATGGGATCGGATTAGGCAGATGAGCACGCGACGCAAAAGGACTGCCCTGCCCTGGTTATGTAATCTTGCTAAAAATACGATTAGAAAAGCACAGCCTCACCAGCCATCTCACCAGCCATCTCACCAGCCACAAGGCAGCCACCAGCCACAAGGAACTGCCAATGTTCAGCCCTTCTCCCTCCCTTCTCCAGGGATTGCAGCGTGCTGGCACCACCGCGTCGCAGGGGCGCTGACTGAGAGACTGTTATTTTTCCGACTTGTGGTTTATTTATCATCGGCAGAGCCAACTTTAAATTCAGCACTCCATTCTCAGAGGGTTCCCGATTTTAGATCGCAAAAGTGATATGCCCGAGTTGATACCTTTTCCCCCTGCTCCTGTGCAAGATTCCGGATTTCCATGGCAGTGTACAGATACACGGCAGGCATTGAGGCATGGAACGAACCGTGCCAACACTCAGCCTCAGCCTCGTTGCGATTCTATTTCCGCCTCCTCCACCCTCAGCTTGAACTCCCCTAGATGACCTCCCCCGTCTTGCCTGCTTTCCCCACATTCGTTGTAGTCTCTCGTTGAATCTAGTGATGATTAAACCTCCGAAAACTGATTGATTGACCGATTCACCAATTGACCGATTGACCGATTGAACGGACAGCGGGCAGCCCGAGCATTTGTGAATCCAACGTCCTAATTGCCACCTAGCACGGCCAACCGCCCAACCGCCCATTCATCCATCCATCCAACCCTCCAACCGACCAACTGGTGCGATGCGGAATCGACTAAAACACCCCTTACCGACATCCCTTCTCCTCGTCCTCCTCGTCCTCCTCGCCTCCCCCTCCCGCGCCGCCTTCCAGAACGACTTCTCGGGATACCCAGAGGCGTCGCAAGAATGCCTCTACGCGGCTGCGGACGCGTCGGGGTGCGACGGCGACACCGTGTCAGCCATGAACGCCTGCCTTTGCGGCAACCGCGGCGACTTCGTGGTGAACACGGCCACCTGCCTCGCAGGCTCGGACCCGTCCCACCTCGAGACCGTCTACGACACGATGGACAGCCACTGCTCCGACTCGGGGACGCCGCTGGACGTGTCGCGCGCACAGTTCCTCGCGGCCAAGAGCGGCAGCAGCAGTAGCATCAGCATCACCAGCACCGCGTCCGAGTCCGAGACCGCGACCCCAACTAGCGCGACGCGAACGGGGACTACGAGCGGTAGCTCCACAACACAGACGACGACTGGGACTGGCACGAATACGCCTACGCCGACACAATCGGGAGGTGGCAACGCTGACGGTGGTGACGGTGGCGGTGGCGGTGGGGACGATAAATCGGACGGAGGAGGGCTGTCGGGAACGGCCAAGGCGGGCATCATCGCCGGGGCGATAGTAGGGGGCTTGGCGCTCCTCGGCGTGCTGGCCTTCTTCTTCATCCTGCACCGGAGGCGCAGCCAGGCCGCGCGCGAGGAGTCGCACCCGATGTTGCCGGCGAACAAGTTCGGCGGGCGGACGGGAGGAGGCGGCGGCGGCGGAGACGGGGCGGGCAACACCAAGACCGGCGCCGACAAGTGGCGCACCAGTCAGGGATTCAGCTGGGAGTCGCCGTACGAGGCGCCGTGGACGGAACCACCGCCGGCTCAGACATGGGGCCACTCCCCCCTGGATCCGGCGGTGGGCTATTACGCGGCACCTGGGACGCAGGACGGGCACCAGGAGCAGGTATACGAGCTTGCCAGCGGCACGGATATTCGGGCGCCGGTGGAAATGGCCGCCCCGGCTGTCCACCCGCCGGGAAGTGAGCGGCCATACTCAGGGGCGGGCTGGGGGCAAGTTACTGGACAACCGAGGGGAACATGACAGGAATACATGGAGGAGGTGGCGTTTTTTTAGGTTTTGTCTGCTGTACCATCACATGGGATTGATCTGGAGACAATCGAATCTTGTATATAATAGAATTCATTGTCAGACAAACCTTATTCGACAGGCACAGGGGCGCCCTGGATAAAAGCAATAACAGGATTACATGATTCACAGAGTCGATACAGCGTGCATTCATTCACCCGTCCAAGTGAGCTTGCCTTGACAGTCAGCCGGAGCAAGACATGACAGGCACCAGCCATGAAATGCCATGCCCGGCTTGCTCGTGAATCGGGCCAAGTTCCTCGAGGTCGTGAACAGATAGCTTGCCTTCAAAGAGAAAAAGTCACAGCTGAAAAGTTTGAAAACTCTGCAACCTCCGCAACTTCTGGATCATCACCATCCAGCGCTGGGATGAGAGAGGCCCAAGTACCATTTTGACCCAGAAAAGTGCTCCAATCCCCCACTATTTACCCCATTAATCCCCAGCCAGGCTGACCCAGACCGCTAGATTTGCAGATACCAGAGACCAGGCACTCTGGGATTCCATTTGCCTGGACCGCGACCCATCTTGACGACTTCCTGGCAACGCACGAGATGGTCTCTCCGTCGGCTTGGAGCGATCTCTGGCCCTGCTACAGTTGCTGTACAGACGTTTGGGTGAGGCTTTCCCCCCCAGCCTCGCTACTTTCCCCCTCTCTGTGTTGCCCTCCAAATAATTCGAGTTACCCCTCCTCGGTGTGTGGCACACCGCTGCGAGAGTATCACCGTGGCTGGCCGCCTTGTCCAAAAGCTAATCGCGTCCCCTCATAGATCCCCTCCAGTGCCACCATTGGACCGCATTGCGCTGGCGTCGTCGCCCATATCCCCTTCTGGATCTCATTGGCCGTTTTTCTGCTGCGTTACACCCTCTTCCCGTTATGGCGCCGCCGCCCGGCCTGGCTCCGGGAGTTCGCCGCCGAGGGGGACTTCGGGCCGGCACTGAAGGCGCGGAGAACGTGGACTCGCACGCTGACATGGCTGACTGTCCTGTCCCTGGCGGGCCTGGCGATGGGGCTGTATTCTCAGCTTGGCCTCAGACAGAGTCCGGTTTCCTCGATCCTCATCGTCCCCTCGGTAAGTAGTGCTCACTGCTCATGCTCATCCCATTGCCCCCTCTGCGACGACAATTGAACCTGCAGACAGCTGATTGTCTTGGTTTCCAGTTCATTTCTTGCCTTATCCTGGCTATTGAGCGCCCTCGTACCACCCCAGGATCCCTTATCAGCATCCATGGGTCTCTCATCCTGGTCCAGCTTGTGCTCTCGATGGCCGTGCCGGGGCTGCTGAGAGGATGGGTCGGCGTTGTATGGCTGGCCGAAGCATCCGTGCCCCTTCTGTCTCTCGCCACGATTCTCAACATGCCCATGAGGGACCCCAGCCTTGGCTCGATTGGAATCAGCAAGCCCTTCACCGCTCCGACCTCGAGTCTCCGGAGCCCTGAGGACGCATTTACCCTGTGGCAGTGGCTGACCATCTCGTGGATGTCGCCCATGATTTCCCTCGGCAAGCTTCGACAGCTCAACGACGAAGACGTCTGGCTCCTCCCGCTCCAGTTCCAGCACACTCGACTCCACCTCCTGTTCCGAGAAGTCAAGGGCTCTGTCATCGGCCGGCTCGTCAAGGCCAATGGACCCGACCTGTTCATCACCGCCGGCCTTGGTGTCCTCGAGAGCATCCTCGCGCTGAGCAGCGTTGTCTTCCTCAAGTACCTGCTTGCCGCATTGGACAGCGGCGAGGGCCGGGGAACTAGAGTGGCTATCACATATGCAGTCTTGAGCCTGTTCAGTCGGTGGGCCCAGGCCCAGTCCGGCGTCCTCTCCATCTGGTTTAGCCGGCGGTGCTATGAGCGCTCCCGCGGCGAGATGATCACCATGATCTTCGAGAAGACACTGCGCCGGAAGGCCTTTACGATTCCCAGCGCCGACAATACGAATCTTGGCGGCGGCGAGGGAGACGACTTGGGCGAGATCGACGATTCGGTTTCCACCGCCAGAGCCAGCAGTCCGTCTTGGGTCCACAGACTTATCCGCCGATTCAAGTCTAAGCCAGTGCCTCTCGCACCGGACGAGACGCCCGCGTCCACCGGCAAGATCCTCAACCTGATGCGCAACGACGTCTACGAAGTCGCCCAGCGGTTCTGGGAGTTCTCACAGCTGATCACGAAGCCGCTGACCTTCGCCCTGTCCCTCGCGCTGCTCTGGGGCTTCCTCGGGCCGGCCTCCCTGCTGGGCATAGCGCTGCTCCTCGCGGGGCTCGTCATCAACTTCGGCATCGCCAAGGCCCTCCTACGCATCGAGCGTTCGCGCCGGGCCGCGACCGACACCAAGCTGAAACTAACCACCGAGTTCGTCGAGGCGATCCGCCACCTCCGTTGGTACGACTGGCAGGACTCGTGGCTGCGCCAGATCCTCGAGAGCCGGCGCGTGGAGCTGCATAAGATGGTCGTCGTCAACCTGCTCAACAAGGCCATAGCCACCGTGAATATTCTTTCGGCGTACATGTTCCCCGTCGCTGGCTTCTACGGCTACACCGTCATCACCGGCAAGCCCCTCACCGTCGACGTGGCCTTCCCGGCCCTGGAGCTGTTCAACCTGCTGCAGAACAGCATGCGCGAACTGCCCGACCTGCTGATGGTCTTGCTCAAGGCTCGAGTGGCTATGGGCCGCATCGAGGCGTTCATGGCCGAGCCCGATAAGGGAGGCGAGGCCGACGACCACGGCCACAGCGAGACAGTTGCTGCTCCGATGGCTGACGACCTCCTGGATATCGAATTTCGCAAGGCATCCTTCTCCTGGCCCGGCATGGACAGGGAGGTTCTCCGCCGCGTCTCGTTCTCGTGCCGTCCCGGGCTGACCGCCGTCTGCGGCGAAGTCGGCATCGGCAAGACGGCCCTTCTCCACGCGATCCTCGGCGAGCTCGACCAGCACGGCGGCGACAGGCGGGTCCCGGACGAGATGGTCGGCTACTGCGCCCAGACGCCGTGGCTGCAGAGCATGAGCATCCGCGAGAACATACTCTTCTCGGCCGTCTACGACGAGCAGCGGTACAGACAGGTGCTCGACGCATGCTGCCTCCTCCCGGACCTCGGAAACTTCAAGGCCGGTGACCTGTCCCTCATCGGCGAGAACGGCGTCGGCCTGTCCGGCGGCCAGAGGGCCCGCGTCGCGCTCGCGCGCGCCGTGTACAGCCGGTCGAGAATCCTGCTACTCGACGACCCCATCGCGGCGCTGGACCACCAAACCGCTGAGACGATCCTGAGGAAGCTGTTTGGCGGGAACGGCAACGGCAAGGGCGCGTCGCTCATGGCCGGGAGGCTCGTCGTCTTCGTCACGCACCGGGTTGACCTGATCCTCCGATACGCGGACCAGGTGCTGGACATCGTCGAGGGCGGCCGCGTGACGACCATTGATCGGCAAGAGATGAGCGAGAGCGAGGCGCTGTGCCACCTTGCGAAGACGGCCACGATTCAGCACGACGACGTTGCCGATGAGGAGGCCGCGCACCCGGAGAATACGGCCATACCCGACAAGTTCATCGAGGAGGAGTACCGGGCCGAAGGCGGGGTCGTTGCATCCGTCTACTGGCGTTACGTGAAGGCTGGAAGCCTGACTTGGTGGGCCATTACTGTCGCTTGCTTTGTCGGTTTCCGTGTCGTTAGAATCGCTTATTTCTGGTTCCTAAAGCAATGGGCCGAAGCCTACCACACGTCGCAGTCCCCGTCACTCTACGGCCAGTGGGTGGGTTCGCAACAACACGAGCCCTCGCTATGGCAGATTGGCCTGCAGGATCCCCAGAAGAAGTCCAGCTGGCTCGACATCAGCCTCGGGCTCCCCAACCCGGAGTCCAACGTCCGCCCGTGGCTGTTCTGGTTCTTCATTCTCGCGCTGGGCCAGGTCCTGGCCTTTACGCTGTCGGAGCTCACGCTGGTGGTGATCGTGTACAAGGCCGGCAAGCGCATCTTCACCGACGTCATGCGGCGGGTCAGCAACGCGACGTTCCGGTTCTACGACGTGACGCCCGTGGGCCGGCTAATGAACCGGGTGACGTCGGACATTGGCACCATGGATGGCCAGATCGCCAACCAGGTGATGCAGGTGGCGTGGTCCGGGGTCGGCTGGCTCTCGTCGGTGGTGGTTATCGCCGCGATGACGCCCGTCTTCCTCGTCCTCACACTCATCATGACCTCGCTGTTCGTCTACATCTTCATGCGCTTCCTCCCGACGTCGCAGTCGCTACGCCGGCTCGAGACGACGTCGCTGAGCCCGCTCATGTCCAACTTCGGCACCCTCCTCGAGGGGCTGACCACGGTGCGCGCCTTCCGGGCCCAGCCGAACTTCCAGGCCCGCGTCGTCAGCACGACGGACGACTTCCAGAAGATGGATCACTTCTTCTGGTCGCTGCAGGCGTGGCTCTCCTACCGCTTTGACACCCTCTCGGCCCTCTCCACCTTCGCCATGACCGTCACCGCCCTCCGCTCAGGGCTATCCTCGGGCTCGGTGGCCTTCGTGCTCGCCGCCGCCGGCAACTTCGTCCTCGCCACCCACCAGCTCTGCCGCAAGTACGGCGAGCTGCAGATGCAGTTCGTCTCGGTCGAGCGCGTCATCGAGCTCCTGGACCTCGAGCAGGAGCCGGCGGGCGACGTGACCCCGCCCGCGGGCTGGCCGACCTACGACGACGACGTCGTCTTCGACAACGTCACGCTGCGCTACGCCCGGGGCCTCGACCCGGCCCTCGTCGGCGCGTCCTTCCGCATCCCCGCCGGCTCGACCGTCGCCGTCACGGGCCGCACCGGCTCCGGGAAGAGCACCCTCGCGCTGGCCCTCGTGGGGGCCGTCCTCCCCGACACCGACGACGACGATGCAGAAGCCGGATCGGGCACAGGGTCGATCCGCATCGGCGGCGTGGACGTCGCCCGCGCCGACAAGCACGCCCTCCGCCGGTCCGTCAGCTTCGTCGCACAGGACCCGGTCCTGTTCCCCGGGACGGTGCGCGTCAACCTCGACCCCCTGCGCGAGCACTCCGACGCCGAGTGCGCGGCCGTGCTGGCGCGCGTGCTGGGCGGCGGCGGCGCGGCGGCAGACCTGGCGCTGGGGAGCCGCGTCGATGCCGGGGGGAGGAACCTCAGCCAGGGCCAGAGGCAGCTTGTTGGCCTGGGGAGGGCGGTGTTGCGGAGGAGCCCGGTGGTGATTCTGGATGAGGTGATTTCTTTTTTTCTCATGCTTTCTCGCCTTCTTTTCCCGCTTGGATACAACATGCTGACCACTCTTTGCTTCGCCAGGCTACCGCTTCGATCGACGCCAAGACGGCGTTCCACATCCAGGAAGTCCTGCGGGAGGAGCTGAGGCAGAGCACCGTCATCACCATTGCGCATCGCGTCGAGGCAGTTAGGGACGCCGACTATCGCATCGTCTTGGACAAGGGCCGTGTAGTTGAGGCTGGGCCGGTTGAATAGAGAAACAAGGGCTGGGTGTAGATAGAAAACTGGGCGAGGAAGGGGTGTGATAGACTCATTTGCTTGGAAGCCCTGCTGCCTGGAGTTGGAGTTCATCGAACCAAAAAATAAAGGAGCAAGTGATTATGCGAATGGAAGACTAGTATCGCTCTGGGACTATCGTCTATTTGGATTCATGTGGTGACTCGTGAAGGTGCTCTTCAACCCGGTCCGGCTATTATTATTGCACAAACTGCCGTCAAGCCAGATACCCAAACAAGGCACCTAAACAGGGCAGCCAAACAGGGCAAAGTCCATTGCCATCCCTTGATGGCAATGACGCTGTCGCTATTACCGTCGCTGGTAGCAATCGCCAGCCAGGAGTAATCATCAGTGCATCTGGCCGATACACCGGAAAGGGGGCTGGAAATTGAGGAAAACAAGGGCCTGGGGCGGAGTATTCTGGGGCATGATTCTATATTGCAGTCTTATTTTCTCTTAAGGAGCCGGCTTGTCAGGTCTAAAATGTCCATTAATTATTCTGTTCTTCCCTCTTTCCTTTTCCCCCTTCCTTTCTCTTTTCTTCTCTTCTGCTTTCTTTTCTTCTGCTAATCCCCCCACTAGACACAACAGCACGCACAATCTTGAACCACAGCCGGAGCTGGGAGACACCTCGTCATCGATGTCGTCGGTGAGCCAGCCGTTGCCATGCAGCCGTGATGGACACTGTCGAAGGAGAGACTACTGGCGCCCCGCATCCGCACCGACGTCCATCGTGAACCACTGGCGGAGCTGGGCCTCGCACCTGTCCATCCCTTCGATGAGCGCGGACACGCACCGGAATCCCTCCTCGTCCGGGGGCTCGACACCCATCGGCGTCGACCCGCAGAGCATCCACTCCAGGGAGGGGAGCGCGGCGGCGAAATTCTCCGCCCAGTTCAGCATGCAGCTGCGGTGGTCGACGTAGTAGAAGACATACTCGTACGGCCAGGCGTCATCGTCATCGTCGTCGTTATCAACGAGCCTATCGTCGATATCCTCCTCCGCCCAGTCCTCGACGTCGTTGGGCCCGACCCCCCTCCCCCACCGCGTACCCCTCCAGACATTGTAGGCGACGCTGTCGCCGTAGTCATCGCCGCATATGGCGAGCGTGTGCAGCTTCGTGAGCCCCGAGAGCAGCGCGCACATGGCCCGGTAGTCGACCATCCACCACGCCGGATCCCGGCACTCCCGTCCCCCGGCGAACAGGCGCAGCTGCCTGAGCGTGTCCAGCTTCCCGATCAACGCCAGGGACTGCTCCGGCACGTAGACGGGGCGTATTGGGGTCCACAGTGTCCACCTCGGCGGCGGCGTTATCCCCCGTGGTAGGACCTCGCTGCCCCACCAGTTGGAGCAGATGTCGACGGCGCTGATGGGATTGTCGAGGTCTGCTTCGGCCGTCCACCATTCTAGGGAGAGCGAGATGAGGTTCGGGAGCCCCGCCTCGACCAGCCGCGGGATCACCACGCCGTCCATGACCGCGCCGGCCATCCCCTGCAGGCACAGGAACTCCAGGCTGCTACTGTGTCTGGCCACGAAGTCGAGGGCGAGCTCGGCGTCATCCTCGGTCGTCAGGAGGGGCATGGACAAGGTTTCGAGGTCGCGCATGGTGTCGCACCCGGCGAGGAGCCTGTATATTACCGTGTGGTCGGGGCACAAGGGCAATGTGAGGTGCCTGAGGCGCGCGCCGAGGAAGGAATGCATCAGGGTCGGTCCGACTATCAACCCCTCGAGCATCAGCCACCGCAACCGAGGGAAGTGGATGGGCCCATGGCTGAAGTCCAGCCCATTCGCTTGTACCCAGAGGTACATGGGCCGATCAGGGATATCGATGAATTGTGGTGACGATTTTGGCCCGCGCCACTCCAGGGACTCGAGGCTGGCCGCGCACCCTTTGAGCAGCATCTCGAAGAAGGGGCTCGTGAGTGAGGATGGGAAGTGGTTCGTGTCCAGGGAGAGCTTGAGGGATCGCAGGTGTGGCATGTCCGGTATGGTGAAAAGCCAGTTGTGGTTGGCGAAGATGTTGGTGATGTGGAGGTGTTGGATGGCGGTGTTAGCAATGGCATGGGTGAGATAGCGGCTGGTTGACAACTGGCCATGCCAGGTTATGGAGGTGAGGTGAGGAAGGTGCGACCAAAGGAGAGCTAAAATATTCTCAAGACCCTGGTCTAAAAAACCGTCCACGTAGACGTAGGGAGATAATATCATGCCGAACTGGATACTCCGGACGCAGTGTCTTATCTGGGGTGTCCCATCATCATCGCTGAAGCTCTCCTGAGCCAGGTGTACCACCAGGCCGTAGTTGTATTCTCTATGGTCGAACACGACGTTGGCAAACTGGCGCGAGCGGGCAAGCTGCTGGCAGTCACTGTTCGTGAGGGCGAGCGAAGCAAGGCTGGGTTTGTCGTCGGAGAGGAATTCCGCTATATCAGTGAGAAGGGGTTTGGGGAGCCGAAAGAGAGCACTATCCGACGCGCAGGGCCGGCCGCCCATCAGCTTTTCGAACTGCACCGGTTTGAGCCAGGGCTTCTCTCCTATACCGAAGTGATCCATCGTTCTTCAAGTTTGGAAGAAATAATTTTGACAGCATTCGATATTAGCAAGTGTAGTTGGAAAGCAGGTAGGTCGTGGGGAAACAGGCTCGTTGTCAAGGTGAGGGAGCAGAAAGACCGGCTTTAGTACCTATCTCTGACAAAGTATGGTATCGTACGTGGTTTTGAATCAGGCGGATAGTTTCACTACCTATATATGCCTCTGGTCCCGATCCTAGAAGGTTATCGTCCAAGAAGGTTATCATCCAAGAAGGTTATCATCCACGAAGGTTGTCGTCCACGAAGGTTAGGATCTGAATACAAAAAGGTTCGAATAATTACAACAAGCTTCTGTCCATTCAATACAGCTTAGCGCCCCACCATCAATCCGAAGTCTCAGGACGGGTCATGTGGAACAGGGCACCACCTCGTGGTAATTCTTCCTTGTCGGTTCCCAAAAGGACACCGGGCCCGTTCATGGGATCGGTGCTTAGGCTGTAGCTAACACCGGCGATGAACTACGGGGACTAGGAAGCTAATATGGCCGAACTCAGACGACAAGGCCCAGGCACTTGAGAAATTGGAAGAATCCGACTTCTCTGCTGGTCGGGCTGTCTTCCCAAGAATCGACATGGGATGGTGTTTTCGAGGAGCTGGACAGAGTCGAGGTACACTCGGTTCCGGTTTGGGTTGGGTTGGTTGACCCCTTCAAGTGGCAAACGATGAAGCTGTGGCAAGTATCTCGTCGGCTGTTTCTCCGAGGTGTGGCACCATGAGGTTAGAAACCATAATGCCTCACTGTTCCTCGGGAGGCATCCCCCCAAGAGAAGTGGCTGTAGAGCCGGTAGAGTTGGTTAAGGTTCTCAAATTACTCTTTACCCGGAGCCGAAGCAGTCTATTAACTATTTAAACCTTGGAGCTTTCAACTAATTAGACTCTTGCATGGTGTGATGACTGAAGCATATTGAGGAAGCACACACACCTCATCCAAGCCTCAGCCCCTCGTCTTCGGCTAGTTGATCCTGCGTGAACCCCCCATGGAGCTTGTTGAGATACTTGTCGAACAGCCCGGATACCTCAATGACGTCCTTCAGGTGAGCGTACGTCAAAGTTTGCTCTTTCCACTTCGAGTATTGCCTTGCCGTGGTGATTGCATTCCTGATCTGCCTGCCGTTCATCTCTTCTCTCTTTAGATCATCCAAGTGATCGCGAAGGTCGGCAATATCCACAGAATCGTCCTCGAACTTCTCCAGTCTGTCCAGGAAGTTCTCCCAGATACGCAAACGCTGGTACGGGCCCAGGGTAGGATAATGCAGGGCCAGTTGGATCCTGGATTTGAAGGCCTCGTCAAAGATGCCGACTCGGTTACTTGTTAGTATAAGTATTCCTTCGTAGTATTCGAGTACTCGGAGGAATACAGAAACGAGGGCGTTCCGCTGGAGGTCCTCAAGGCTGCGTTGCTCGAGAAAAACATCCGCCTCATCTAGCAACACAACGCAACCCCAGAGTTTGCCCAAGTGTAGAACAGACTCGAGATATGTCTCGACGTCTTCGGCCTTCGTGCCCACGTCACCGCAGGTAACTCGGTACAGAGGCTTCTCCGCGATTTCGGCGACACTTTCTGCTGTCAGGGTTTTCCCAGTCCCTGGGCTACCGTGAAGCAGGAGGATGAGCCCATTGCCCTTTCCTTCGATCAGGTCGGTGCCTTGCTCGGCCTCCAGTTGGTTACTGACGAGCGCCCTGATGAGGTCCTTAGCCTTGTGGTCCATAACCACCTTGGAGAATGCCTCCTTGTTCCATTTGACATCAGTAACCCTTTCGGCAACAAGGTCATACCATTTCTTCCTCCGCAAGTTGAAGCCCTTGATTGTGGCTGGCAACAGGAGCTCAAATTGGTCGTCCGGCGGCTCGCCTCTGGCCATCGCCTCGGGACCAAGCTCGTCGGCTAGACCATTCCTCGACCTTGTTCCGTCATGGAGATTGTCTTTGTGAAGGCTTCGATAAGTCTGGAGATCAACCACGTAGCGTTCGTCCACCTGCCGACTAAATGTTAGGAGAAAATCCTTGGCCACAATGTTAAGAGGAAGGAAAGGGCGGAAACAAACAAGATTTTCATCACTGTCCTCGTCACTCTCTCGATATGAAACAAAGGCCCGATTCCGGCATTTCCAGAAAACCTGACCTCGCCGTCGAAGCTTCGCCACAACTTCGGCGGGAGCGTGCTGAATGGGAAACACATTGAGCTCATCGATGGCGATAACTTCGCCAGCATCGTCCTTGGTCTTGGAAGCAGACTTGTCCTTGACATCGGACCCATTCCGCATAGAACTCTCCCCGATTTGTGTGGAGAATAACAGATTCCCATCCCGGCGCTGGAAATGTCCATCAAAGTCCCATTGCCAGGCACTGACCTCCCAATCCTGCATCATCACCTTATCAGTGGCCATGAGTTTCGAACTTTCTTTCGAGCCGTAGAGAGGGATTGCTGCACCCTTTCTGGCCATCTCCGCCTTTCTGCGCGACGTTGCGTAGATGCGGATAGGCGATGCCCATGATTTGGCAATCCAACCCAGGTGTTGATCGTTGGACTTCTGAATGATAACGTCGCCAGGCTTGAATAGGTACTTGACGTAATTTGATGTGATTTTCCCTTGAGATATGAGGGCGTCTGCGGCTGCGTAGTCATCGCCGTACCTTTCCATCACATAGTTCCAGAAGAGCATCATCTGCTCCTTTGCTGACGAATCCAGACCTCCCAAGACCGCATCCGGCTCTTGGCGGCGATGATAAATGAACAAATACGGGGCTCGGAGCTCAGATGTTTGCTGGAACTCTTGGTGCAGGTCTCCATAGTCCTCTCGTGACTCCAGCAGCGCGTTTATGGCATGCACAAGATCGTCGGTGATTGGTTGAATGGATTCGTTGATGGTGATATCGGGAATGTCCTCCGTCTCACCTGAGCGGGTAATCTGGCGATGGTTTTGCGCCGAGATCTCGGGTACGACGTACGTCCGATACACGAAGAAGGATATGTCCTTGTTCTTTTCCAGGAACAAGTCGAAATTCTGCAAGGGGATTTGACACCTCAGCGTGCCGGTCTTTCCTTGCCCTCCAACCCATTGAGGAGGGTCAAAGAAAGACGGCGACAGCACCGTTCGTCGTTTCAAGTCGCTGCCTTGCCTTGATTTATCATCGACGCACTTGTTTTCCAAGATCCGGTAAAGAACTTGGTGTCTGTAGGAAAGCTGGTGTTTTGACTCTGAAGCACCCATCTGCCGGGCTCGGTCTTCCAAGCGCTGTATGAAGCTTTGCAGCTCCGTTACGTCCATATTGAGAACATCAGCGCCCATTTCTCCAAGCACGGATAGACCGGCCGTGAGTGGTCGTTTCCGCGAGGACGACTGTCCGTTAGATAAATCTGAAGGCCCACCAGGGGGCATTATTGTCGTGGCAGCTGTCATGTTAATGGCCGCGACCTCCGTCTCCAGGAGGCTTTCGAACCGCTTTTGACTCTCTATCCTCCTCTCCCCCCACGCGGCCTTTCTAGCCGACTCCTCCATATTCCTCTGGATCATTCTATATTGTACGAGAGAGAGCGACTGGTTCGCTTTACGATCTCGCAAAGCAAGGAGCTGCCTTTCTTCAACCTTCGTGATGTCGCTCAGATCATCTGAAATTGTAATCGCGTCGATGAAATGTGGTACGAGGGTACTATACAGATATATGTTAGCCTCTCTTCTATCTCGAGTTTTATGATGTTATTAGACCCACCCCGGGAGTTTCGATACAGGCCGAGAGATTTCGGCTTGATGTTTTGTAGCGGGAATCGGGACCTGGGGTGCACGGGGAGCACCACTGGGTTGGATCGGTGTTGCCTCCCTCGTCTTCGGTGGAAGATGGACTCCCCCGATCTTCTCTTGATAATATACCATCCCCTTCGCCCGATGTACTAGGGTTGCCTCCTTCGCTTAGCAGATCCTCCTCTTGGTTCAATATATCCTCTCCTTCGTTCTCTATTCCAGTTGTGCTTGAGCAAGAGTCTTTGTTGTCAATGGGATGTCTGTCGTCAACGCTGTCGCTGTCCCGACCCTGATCAGAGCCGGTGTTCAGGCTTGCGTGGCTGACTATCGATCTAGCGTAGACGGAATGCCGATCGGAAAGGAAATCTTCGTCGCGGGGATGATCATGGGCGGAGGCTGTAGAGGGGCTATCGTCTCTTCAGAATCTGCGCATGTTGACTTAGCCTCGCGGAGCGGGAATCGCAAGTACAATCCCAGCCAGGAAAGCTGCAAATTGATTGTCCGGTTCCTACTCATTACGTACCTATTTTAGGGGAAAGCCACCGGCAATCATATTTTCGGAAATGTTCCATGGGCCGGTCATCTGGTAGAGTAGACTCGGACTTCCTCCGTTGGAGGTGTTTCGAGAATTCACACCGCTGCTCAGACTCGCCTGCCAAAGAGCCTCGAGGGCTAAACTCCGGATATTAAATGGCTGCCTGCCCCTCCCTCCTTTACGAGGCTGTAACGGAAACAACTTTCGTTGGTCTACACGTAGTATCCCCCATCAGTCTGAGATGTTAAGACATCTGTGGTCGATGTTAAGGAACAGTGAGGCTCTTGTATGTAACGACTAACAAGGCGCCAGCTAATCCTAACGCGTGCGACTCAAGCCATCATGCAGTGGTGGCTTAGACCGCCACGTCGCCTGGACGAGGCGGTCCAGTGATCCAAGCGAGGGGCTACCAGCCTCCGCCTGGCGAGGTCTACATTCACAATGCCTTGAGTGTGAGCCTTGCAACTCCGCCACCATCCCCGTCGCTGTTGAGCAACATTGAGTCCTCCCATAACGGACGATTTCGAAGGCCTCGTGGTTGACGTTGGTAAGCCCAAATTATCTGGAGATGTCGAGTCTCGCCGGCCACCGGTCCACCAGTACGTTATCCGACTGGTATTGTGGCGTATCAGACTTCGAGTAAGTTATTATGTCGGCTTCGAGATGTTTATACTAAGACGCTCGCCTTGCAGCACTTCCGAGCCAGCGCGAGCAGCGTTCCAAGAAGGGCTCAAAATCTTCAAGGAAACCTTGACGAAGGACGGGAAGAAAAAGGACCTCGCAGGCCAGTTCCTCGACTGCAGAGTGGAAGACATCCTGAGGGCAGTTGTCGACGTCAAATCCCACTATGACGCCCAGCATGGATCAAACAAAATCCACGAAAGTTTAACAGCATTCTCGAAGCGCGTATTCTATTACGGCAATGTCATTGATGTTCTCGCTCAACACCATCCCGAATACGTTTCTCTTGTTTGGGGAGCCATGAAGTTTCTCTTTGGGGTAATCGTCTACGAAGGTGCTCATCGTTACTACCTTAGCTGACCATCAGGAAAGGCCGTGATCGAACATGAACGTACTGGCGTGACTATCGTATCGGCGCTTTGCGATATCGGGGACTCGCTCCCGAGAGTCGGACTGGCATTACTGGTCTACCCAACCGAATCGATGAAGCGGGCGGTATCCATGCTGTATGCTCATATTGTCCGCTTTCTCATTCGTGCAATGGGATACTATTCCGAGAGCAAGTTCGCTCGCGCTGTGCACACCATCACAAGGCCCGCCGCCCTCCGCTACGACGATATCATAAAAATGATACAGCATGATAGGCAGATCATAGCAAATCACGCTGTGGCAAGCAGCCAGGCTGAATTAAGGGATGTCCATGAAGGTGTTCGAGGAATCAGTCAACGGCTTGATATGGCCGTCACGCGGAGTCGAGCGGACCACCAGAGCCTGCAGACGAATGTACAGACTCTGGCTGACTTGATGTCACAGCTTCGACAAAGCATTATGGCCGAGAGGGCTGCTTCGATGACTGTGCAGATGGAGATTCGTTCTGCGCTCTCAGACGTACAATTGGCACAAGCGCTGGCAATGATATCGTCCCAATGTAGCATTGACCACAAAGTCGTGCTGCAGTCGAATCTGCAGCTCCACAACAGGCACCGACTCCAGCGACGATTCCATCACACCGCGGCCCCTCTTTGGACATCCCGCAAATTGCGGGAATGGAATGCATCGCCAACGTCATCGTCTATCCTCCTCAAGTCCACATTCCATGAGAGAGCACAGATCAGAGGATTTTGCACAGAAGTCATCGAACACCTAATCAAGGCTCGCAACGCCGTACTCTGGGTCTTGGTCGACCTTGGCCAGGAATACCCGATTCTCGAGATCCTGAAGAGCCTCGTTCTCCAAGCACTCACCCTCGACTACTCGGGTCATTCAGAGACAAAGATGTCGTTCCAGCTCCGCGGGTTCCTCGACGCACACTTCGAGAGCGACTACCTCAACATGCTCGGGGAACTCCTCCAGCACTTCAAATTAGTCTATATTGTCGTCAGTTCCGATGCGACGTCTCTTGCCACATCCCTGCAGTGTCGGGATTATTTGCGCCGCTTATCTTGCACACTTGCAGCGCGAGGCTCCAGAACTGTCTTGAAGATCATTGCCACAGCACACGGTCCGGGACTACAAGCTTCGTCGGAAGACATCGTCCTTGCAGTTGGAAGGATGCACAAACAAGGAATTAAGAAGCAGCAGAAAACCCATTCCAGGAGACGCCAGAACTCCAGGTTGACTCAACCTCTCACCACTGCCTTCAACGCCGCAGCCGACAGCAATACATTCGAGTCCTGAGTTTGACAGCCTGGTTTGGGACAAGTCTTGTCGATGCAGGCCCAAGTCATCTATGTACAAGGCCACGGTTATCTAACCCTTGCTATCACGTGCTGCCCCTGGCTGGAGCTGAGAAACACGGGGCGGGGTCCGGGTGGCAGTGCTCTGCTCTCTGAAACGAGTGTCGACGAGTATTTAAAATTCCGGAGTACAAGAACGATAGCACGCAATCGAATCTTGTCACATGTAATTAGCACATAGCCGTTTCTGCCCGGGTGCGCGCCGACCCGAGGCCGTGGACATGTCGGACATGCCTCTGGTCTTATAATTACATGCTATAGGGCTAGTATTGGCCGAAATAAAAGAATGGGTAGTGCAATCAATCGTTCGATGATCTTTATCTGAAGTCGGAGTCTAGATGCTGCCATCTGCAGGAACGGTGGGGAGATCCATGGATTAAAATACTGGATCAATGCACCATTGACGTGGACGCGCGGTACCTGGAGGTGCAGATCTCCTGCCCTGCCGTCAATCGTTGCTATTCCTGGTTTCTCCGTTAGACGTCCGTTGCAATGGCAAGCCATACCGAGCGCAGCTGGGAAGGGGCAAGGTGAAACGCCCTCCTTGGCGATCTTGCAGCTCAACGTCACTTTCCACGGGTGGGGTACCGCAGGTATTGGCGCGGGACGTCGATCAGAAAAGCTCTGAAACCGATCAGTGCCAAGCAATGCGTTTGATCTTTTTCCGCGGACTCCTCCAGATTCTCTATTTAAGTCTATTTAAGAATCCTCTTTCCCGCAAGTCTTGGCGTTTCTTGGCCTCTGGACTTGCACCTTCATTTTCGACTTCATCTCTGTTATCCTTTGTTATTCTTCTACCAGGTAAGCTTGTCCTGGCTTGATCCCAAATGCTGAAGATTAATTACTCGGAAGGCTGACATCTAGTTGATCAGAGCCGTGCTCAACACAGTCCCGGTGACTTTACCGATTTATTTATTTCTTCTATTCACCCAATTTCCTCAACACTCCTCCACCTACCTTCACAATGAAGACCTTCGCTACCATCCTCGTCCTCCTGGCCTCGTCCGCCTCCTTCGTGGCTGGCATACCTGCGCCTGCGCCGGCAGACCAGGCCGCGTCAGCAGCAGCCGCTGGTGAGAGCGTCAACGCGGCGGCGAACAATGGCTCCGGGGTGAGTCCCCCTCCCCCACGTCTCCCTTCAGCGGGCAGCCACTGTCCAAACTGGAACCGTTTCCGAGGCGATTTGCTGACAACCCCGACAGGGCATCAAGGCAGCCGACGACGCAGCCCTGGCAGTTGCGTTGGCCGAAGCTGGCGACAGTGAGTTTCCGATCCGTCTAAGGGGGGAGGTACGGGGAATGGATGCTGACTTTTTGGATCTCAGTCGGTGCCGTAACCACCGGTGCCGCCTTTGCCGCGGCAACGGCGAACGCGGCCGTGCAGGCGGCCAACGGGACCGAGAACGCCGACGTGGCCAAGGCTGATGCCGCCGCCGCTGCTGCTACCGCTGCCGCTGGTGGTGCCGCTGTTGACGCTGCTGGTGCCGCTGCCGCTGGTGGAGCCGCTGCCGCCGCTGGTGGAGCCGCTGGTGCTGCTGGTGGTGCCGCTGGTGGACAGGGCAAGGGCAAGGGCAAGGGCAAGGGCAAGGGTAAGGGAAAGGGAAAGGGGAAGGGAAAGGGGAAGGGCAAGGGGAAGGCAAACTAGGGAAACAATAAGAAGGGCACCTAAGGTCCAACAGCGGTTTAGGAGGGGATATGGGATCGCAGGATGGTAGTGAGTGTAAGAGGTCAGCCTGCTGTCATGACTAAACCACTGGTTGGTTGAATCTGCTCGTGTTTCTCGACCATCAATAGACATTTACTTGCCTTGGGATTAGTGAATAGGGACCAGTGACTCGTATCTCAGCCTATCTCGGTGCAAAGTAACAACCTTGTACCCCGACAGTCACGCAATTGGGCTCACTTACAAACATTACCTATGATAGAAAGACCCTGTCTATTTCCTTCGCCTTCACTTCACGCCTTCATTTCACCCGTGTCATCAAACGGCTTCGCCCCCATCTTCGTCCATACCGAGTCAACCATCAGGGCCAAGTCCTTCTCCTCGCTCGGGAAGAGCATCTCGCTCTTCCCGTCCCAAAACTGGAGGACGGAGCGGTCCTGATCACGCAAGTCAGCTTGAAAAAAGTTCCATCCCAAACACATCGATGGCACCAAGGAGAGGAAGGCCAACTCACCAATCCGAGAGTCAGTTTGATCAGCCCATCACCCCACTGTGGCTTGTACGTGTACCGAGGTTCCTTCCCGTGGATGGCGATGAGCACGTTGTCGGCAACGATCTCGGCCTGGCGCATGGCCGAGCGGGAGTTGGGGTTCGGCGTGTGGGTCTCTGCGACGTCTCCGCAGGCGTAGACGTTGGGGAGAGAGTCATCCGTTATCTGCAGCGTGGGCTTGACGCTGATGTGCCCGGAGGATGAGACGGAGGTCGGGGAGAGCGCGGCGATGAGTCCAGAAGCAGGTTTCTGACCGGTACAGTTCACCTGTCGAGCCTGTGTTAGTGGTCGGGATTGATCTGCATCACGAAGGAAAGCGAAACGGAGTGCGTACAAAACAGTCACACTCGATCGTCGTGCCCGAGGTGAGCGACACGGTGTTCGCCTCAACATCGTGAGACACCACTTTCTCCTCCAGGACGAGTTTCACACCGAGCCGTTCGAGCGCCTCCACCGTCGCGGCCTGCAGTCCCGGACTGAACCTGTGCATGACGGCACTCCGCGAATGCACGAGCACGACGTCCTTCTCGGGATAGGCCGCCTTGGCATCTGTGGCGACCTCAACGCCAGCAGCACCACCACCGGCAACAACGACATGCTTCGCGTCCTTGATGCGCTGCTGGTATGCCCGGAGGAGCTCCACGCCATCAGCCTTGTCCTCGACGCCGAGTCGCGACGGCAGGCCCTCGGCCACGTTGGCTCCCGTGGCGACGATCAAAAAGTCGTACTGGATCTCCTCGCCGCCGCGCAGGCGCACGCTCGTGCGGCCGGCCGACTCGACGCGGTCGCGCACCCAGCGGACGGCGCCGGGGGCGACGCCCGGCCCGGACACGTAGCCGCCGTAGGGGATGAAGGCCTTGTGCTCGTGGCCCTCGACGACGCAGAAGCGCGGCAGCACCCAGGTGAAGTTGAAGTGGCTGTTGGGCTCGACCACGACGACGCGGTAGGGGCTGCGCCGCGGGAGCGACGTCGCGATGACGCGCGCCGCGTGGTAGCCGGCGAAGGCGGCGCCGACGATGACGATGTTGCGGGTGCGCTGCTCGCCGCCGTCGTCGTCTGCTGGGGCGGAGCGAGAGGTGAGCGAGTAGACTTTGAGTCGGAGAGTGCGCAGGTGGTGCGTGAAGAGGGCCTTGACGACGTAGGCTACGAGCCTGATGAAGAGGCTCGCCCTTTGAAGTTGCTGCCACATTGCGTTTTTTTTCTCCTGTTCCCCCCTCCCCTTTTTTAGTGTTTTATTTTCTCTCAACTCGGCACGGCAATGCCTCTGAGTCCAGCCTCCGGTGCAAGCAGTCAAGCAGGCCAGCCAGAAGAAACCATGCCAGAGCTGGCGAGGACTTGAACTTGGGAAGATGGCAGAGTTTGGCCGACTCGGAGGTCCTTTTTGGCATGTACGGTACTTCGTATTTTACGATCCGAGGTTCCGCGTTATTGCACGAAATAGGTACTCCCGTCCTTCAATCGGATCCATACAGGGGTATATCTTGGCACTTGGCATAGTTTGCTAGTTTTTATCTCATCATCTGATAAATTCGCTTGGCATTACTGCGGTATCGGCGTTGCAACCCCCACCCCTGTTTGTTGCGCACCCATCCCTGTCTCCCCTGCCTGGCCAGGACCAACACGACGAGATCGGTGCTCCACTCCCTTAGCCAAACCTCGGGTATCCCTGCTCCTTCCACTCGTAGAATCCTATCCCCTTGGCTGCCTTGGGCATTCTGACCATGAGGGGCACGGTAATGTCCTCATCCGTGCCCAGGACCTCCGCCTTGTGGACGATGGTCTCCTTGAGAAGCTCGAAGCCCATCTTCTTGTACATCTCCAGCACGGTGGGCGATGCCTCGAAGTAGACGGGCAGTCTCGTCCTCTCGCACAGGTCGATTCCCCACTCCATCATAGCCGCCCCGGCCCTGAGGCCCTGGAATTTGGGTTCGATGCCGACGACGTGGACGTCTGTAACCTCGCATGTCAAGCATTAGTTGTGTGCATTTGCGGGGCTTAACTGTATGTAGACGGGATGGGACTGACAGAGATACGGCTCGCCCCCAAACAACTTCTCCCTCATCTCCCACAGCGGCCTGACCACCTTCTCGGCGCGCTCCCTGTCCTCGCCCTGCAGCCAGGAGACGCCCTGGAAGGCGCGCTCCTCGTCGGACCGCTTCTTGATGTAGACGTCGCCGAGGCCGATGCCGACAATGTCGCCCGTCAGCGAGTCGACGCACTTGAACGTGTACTGCACGTCGCTCGTGTGCCAGTAGCTCAGCGTGCCCTCGGCGTGGCCCTTGCGGAACTCCTCCGACTCGGTCAGCGTGCCCGGGAAGAGGAGCCGCACCATGATCTGGCCCATCTTGTCGTTCTTGAACGCGTTGAAGTAGACATCGTACAGCCGCCGGATGTCGGGGATCAGCGCGGGGAGGACGACGTAGACCATCTTCGATCTCGTGTGTGTGCGGGGGGGTGGTGGACTTTGCGGCGGGTATTAATGGGGAAAGTTTGAGAGATTGACGATGCGGCCAAGTGACGATCTGCAGTGTTGGGGTTGAGTTGAGTGGTGATAATCTTCAAACCTGCCGGAAAGAGAGAGGCGTCAACAGCGATCTTTTTGAATGCGGGACGGAGATCCGGGCCTTGTGGATCCTCAGGGTCCTCGTCTCCGGGCAGAACCCACTGCGTTGCTGCTTGCTCCTTTGGGCGTAGTCACTGCATCCGACGGCCCATCCGTCCAGACTATCGGAACGCCATGCGTTAAACCATTGAGGTTTCGCTTGTCTGGACCCAATCCTGGGTTCTGGGCTCTCCGCCACGGCGCAAGATAATCGTGTCCCCGGTTCACACCACCCCCCCAAATGCCGTAGCACCCGGACCCCACTGCGAGGTTTCTGGTTACGAAAGAAATGCTCAACCCCTGCTAGCCCTCCCTTAGCCGGAGGAACTTTGTATTTTTCCTCGTCTAAGATTACCAACCTCGGGACAGAATCGGCACGAGGACCATGTGGGGGGGAAGGAGGGGGGCCAAATTCTGCGCCAAGGTCAAGGTTAAAGTTATCTGATCCGTCCAACAGGCTAATGCAGACTGGGGTGGCACGGGGGGCTATTATTGATTTACGAGGTTGTATTCCGGCACGTGGGGAGTTGATGATGACTCAAACCAGGGATGGCCCGGAACTCGGTAGCGACCTTCAACTCCACGGAAGGAAGTCCTGGCAACAATGAGCATGTGTTCGGAGAGACAGGCATTGGCTCGTTGCGCAAAACATCAGGGCAACACATGGACTGGTAAGACGGAAGAGTACAGGTAATTGACCTGTCTTGATGATTGAGGCTACCGCGAGCTTCCCCCTTTGCCTTTTGAAGCACCTTCCTCTCTATAAAATTCCCGATGTATCCACAACGCTGGCTGGATAGCTAATTACAATGTATAATTATTTTGTGTTGGTTTGTTTTCTTTCTTTTCTTCCCTTTGCTCCTTCATCTCCAACAGATCCCATCCATCCCTCTCTCATGCCACTACTGCAACATCTGCTGGTGGGCATTGACCCTGTAGCTCTCGCTCCGCTCCATCAGCTCGACGTGCTTCCCGCTATCGACGACGCGCCCGCCCTCGACCACGAAGATGACGTCGGCCTTGCGCACCGTGTGCAGGCGATGCGTGATGGCGATGACAGTGATGTCCCGCGCGACCATCTCCAGACTCTCCTGCAGCACCCTCTCGCTCTCGGCGTCGAGCGCGCTCGTGCTCTCGTCCAGCAGCAGCAGGCGCGGCCGCCTCACCAGCGCCCGCGCGATAGACAGGCGCTGCCGCTGCCCACCCGACAGCTGCGACGCCCGCGGCCCGCACTCGGTGTCGTACCCCTGCGGCAGCGCCACGATCGTGTCGTGGATGTTGGCCCGCCGGCACGCCTCCTCAATCTCGGCGTCGGTGGCGTCGCGGCCGGGGCGCGCCCCGAGGCCCACGTTGAACTTGACGCTGCCGTCGAAGAGAGCCGTGTCCTGCGGCACGATGGCGATGTCGTCGCGGAAGTGGTCGCCCGCCGCCCCGCGCCGGGAGAGGTCTTCCCCGTCGATGGTCACGGTGCCCGATGTTGCCTCGTAGATACCCTGCACTAGCTTCATGATGGTAGACTTGCCTGCCCCGGACGGGCCAATCAGCCCACAGAACTGGCCCGGCTGCACCGTGAATGTCACGTCGTGGAGCACCGGCGCGTCGGGACGCGCCGCATACGCGAACGATACGCCGTCGAACGTGACCCGGACGCCCCGGGGTCCGTCACCGTCAACATCGGGGGAGGAGGACCTGGGCTTCGCCTCGGCGACGGCCTCGATATCCTTCTCCGTCGCCGGCCCGGCGGATGAGTCGTCCCCGGGGATGTCGGCCCGTGGGAGCACCTTCTGCTCCCGGCTGCCGGACCCGAGGTTGATGACGCGCAGGATGCGCGAGGCGGCGGAGCGGGCGCGCGAGAACTCGGGGGCGAGGGTGAACATCTGGCCCCAGAGCTGCGCGCTGACGAGCATGGCGACGAGGATGATGAAGAACTGCTTCTGCGAGTACTCGCCCTTCATGATGAGGCGCGACCCCCACCAGTAGGCGAAGGCGTAGATGAGGAAGCCCGTGCTGTTGGACAGGGCGAGCCAGATGTTGGCGAGCGCCGACTGCCGCACCACCTCGTTGCGCGCCGCCGCGAGAACCCGTGAGTGCGTGGCCATCACCTCGTCCTCGAGCGACAGCGCCGCGATGGTCTGGATCGAGTTGACCGCCTCGACGGCGATGCCCGTGGCCCGGGAGTAGGCATCGGCGTGCCGCTCCTCGTATCGCGACAGCATGCGCAGCTGCATCACGCCCGAGCCGAGGAGGATGGGAACCACGACGAGGCACACGATGGCGATCTTCCAGGCGACGATGTGCGAGAGCACGATGGCGATGACGAAGTTGACGAGGATGGAGAACACGGTGCCGATAATGGACCCGCTGAAACCGCCCACCGCCGCGCTGTCCTTGGTGATGACGGAGAGGAGACCCGAGGGGCTCCGGTCCGCGGCCTGGTGCCAGTCGAGAGGCTGCGCGAGCAGTGAGCGGAAGGATAGGACCCGGATCGTGCACAGCAGCCTCTCGGCGATGAGACCAAAGGCCGACCAGGCGACGAAATTGGCAAAGAGCTCGACAACCGCGAGCATGAACAACAGGCCTGCGAAGAATCTACCGTAGTACAGGATTTTGTCGGTGGTATTCTCGCACGGGTTGAGGGCGCCGACTGTGTTGCCAAAGATGAGGCCGGCACCGGAGAAGGTAGCCCCGACGATGACGGCGGCGATCACCGCCGGCACAAGCCATATAAGGGACGGACGGACGTATTGGGCAAGGCCCTTGAAAGTTGATGCGAGCGAGAGTTTTGAAGATATGCCGAGCTCGTTGTCGTCGCCGGCCGCATCTTCTTCCTCCCTCTTATTGGTAGGGCCCTGCTTGGCGGTACGGGCAACAGCCTCGACGCCCTGCTTCCCAGCAGCATCGATATTCAGAGATGTCCGGCTCGAAGAGACATTCTGCGAGCTGGTCTCGGTAGCCTCCCCCGAACCGATCGACTGGAGGCCAGCCATCCGTGCGAACGCGCCATCGCGCACCATGAGCTCGTCATACGTGCCCTGCTCGACGACCTCCCCAGCCTCCATGACGATGATGTTGTCTGCGTTCCGGATGGTAGACAGGCGGTGTGCGATGGAGATGACGGTCCGATTCTCGGCGGCGCGCTCGACGGCGGCCTGGATGCGCCGCTCGCTCGTCGAGTCTAGCGACGCCGTCGCCTCGTCCAGCATGAGGATCTTGGGGTCGCGCACCAGCGCCCGCGCGAGCGCGATGCGCTGCCGCTGCCCGCCGCTGACAAGCAGACCGCCCGACCCGACCGTCGTGCCGTAGCCGTCCTCTAGCCGCTCGATGAAGCCCGTCACGTCGGCGAGTTCTGCGGCCTTGCGGACGAGCTCGACGATCTCTGCGACGCGGGGGTCCGTGTTCCTGGAGGCGGCGGTCGGGATGTTCTTCCCCTCGGCGGCGAGATTGGCTAGCTCGGGCCCGAGGAGCACTGGTTTGAGAGCCGCGTGGGCGGGATTGGGCGAGTTGATGAGGCCGAGGGCAATGTTCTCCAAGATCGACCGGTTCAGAAGACTCGGCTCCTGCTGGACCAGCCCGATGAAGCCCCTCAGGCTCTTGACATTGATACCTTGTATATCGCGGCCATCAAGTAAAACGGTCCCACCCGTGGGATTCTGTAACCGGGCGATGAGAGAGGCGAGAGTTGACTTGCCGCTCCCGGAAGGGCCGACAATGGCAGTGTGCTTCCCGGCGGGAAAGTTGAGGCTGATGTTGCGAAGTACGTGTTGGTCAGGCCGGGAAGAATACGCAAACGAGACACTGTCAAAAGCCAAAGCAGCCGGCGTGTCAAATGGTAGGGCCTCGCCAGAGTCTGCGGTGCCGTCGATGACGGATTCCCGCTCAATGTCGCCCCTCAGCCGCAGGAAGGCTGATGCGGCACCGCCGAAAAGGGGCAACAGCGGGGCGACCGAACCGAGAATGACGCAGGCTAGAGAAGAGAGCGATCGGTTAATTTACCACATACTTGTGACTTAACCGCTCCCTGGCAAGGGAGCGAGGGACAATTCAGGGGACTCACCATCAACTAGAAGAAAGACGACGGTATAGATTCGGCCCACACTGGAACTCCCGTCGCCGTTGATTGCCTCAACCACCATGCGACTTCCCTGCCAATACGCAAGAGCGTTCGCGGCGTAGGCCACAAAATACAGGCATCCCGCCTGGACGGCAGCAGCGATGCCCTTCCGGATGCCGGCGTGACGCGCCACGAGCACGTGGCTTGCAAACTTGGCCTCGAGGCGCGGCCCAGCGCCAAAGACCTGCACGACGCCGACGTTCTCCAGGGCCTCGGAGGCGATGGAGGAGGCCGAGGCGATGGCGTCGGACATGAGGCCCGAGTACTTCTGGACGAAGGCGCCGCCAACCAGGGCCATAATGGCGAAGGCGGGCACGAGAGAGACGAGCATGCCGGCCAGGCGCGGCTCCTTGATGAAGGCGATGACGTAGGCGGTGATGAAGAAGGAGATGCAGGCGATGAAGATGCCGACCTTCTCCGAGGTGCCCGACTGCACGGCTTGGATGTCGCCGTGCAGGCGCGACGACACCTCGCCGGCCCGGCGGTTGTCGAAGAAGGCCGGCTCCTGGCGCAGCAGGCTGTGAAAGTAGCGGTCGCGCAGCCGCTGGGCCAGGCGCTGGCTGACGATGCTCCAGCAGAGGATGTACGTGTAGATGAGCACGAGGGCACCGATGGCGATGTACACGATCTGGAGCACCTTCTCGTTGATAGACGACTCGTACGAGAAGCTACTGCCCACCGCCTCGGCCTCGCACGTCGCCCCGTTCATGTCGTCGACGAGCTGCCCAAACAGGATTCCCATCAGCGGGAACGGCGTGCCAGCCGCCGCCGCCGCGACGGTGCCCAGAACAATGAGCCCGATGTCTATCCATGTCGGCTGCGAGTAGAATAGGAGCCTGATGAAGGCGGAAAGTTGCCTACGAAGCTGGATTCAATTGAAGGTGAGCAACACCATGTATGTCAGCGAGAGACAGGGTGGCTTGATTGTTAGGATGGGGATATAGCGCAGCCACTAACCGTCATTCCATTGTCGGTGCTCTCCTCTGCCTTCTTCGTCTCACCCGTGTCGGATGCTGTAGGTGTTGAGCTTCCGGCAAGTGCCGTGGCGTCGGCTGTGGCTGCAGGTGCCCGGTCTGTCTTCTTCTCGGGCGCTTCGCCAACCATGATGACTTTACTTGTCGAGCTCCTCGAGCTCTTCTTCCTCCCTTGGTTGCGTATGGAGAGCTGCAACTTGGTAAGACATCCAAAGACGCGGTTTCAACTCCAAACGTTGAGGAAGATGTTGTTTCCCTTTCTTGGGGGGCTCCCAGAGGGGTAACCCCCAACCTCGTTTTTCCGCCATCCCGTCTGCAGGATCTAGAAATTTGCAAGCTGGTACCAAGCCAGGATCGTCGCTGGGTCCTGCCTGTTCTTGATCAAATTCCCGATGCCGGACTTGGCAGGTGAGGATCTGATAATCTGATAAACCGAGCGTGGCTAGAAGCGGGGCAACTTGCGGATCTGATAATCTTTTTGCGCCCCCGCTTGTCACAGTGTGAATTCATCCCGGGTGTTTCCCACGCTGTCCTTCGGCAGCAGCCATGGCCCATGGTTGATTGCTAAGAAATACTACGCTCTCGTGGCTCATTCCGTCTTCCCAAGCAAAATCTGTATTACCTATCTATGTCTGGAAGATGAATATTTCGACGAAAGTTGAAATTGCTGGCTGACTGCCCGTGGTGATAAAAAGCCGTCGTCAAGTGTGCTCCTGCGAGTCTACAGCATTGCCATGTGTCAGATCTTCACCAGTGTGGCGAATAGAGTATCTATCTCTTGCGAACTGACCGCGGCTATCTCGCGTAGAAGGTCTAACAACGGGACTTCTTCAACTGTACTGCTGTGTCTGCTCTTGTCATTGGCCTGCTCACCTTGCAGCTTGCAGCTTGCTGATGCCGGATTTGACTGCTTCTGTCTTGCACCAGCTTTCTGCAGGTCAATGATTCGAGAACGTGTGCTGCTGTGTATGCATGTAACCTCAGAACTGACGATAGTGCTTCCTGAACCAGGTTTGTCCCTTGTCTTGGCGTGATTATTTTGGTTAGCACTCTTCTCCCACACGACATTGTAAACCCCACGCTTGTGTGCAGGGAGACCACACGGCAGAGCAAATTGCAAACCTGGTCAGACGAAGTCTTCATGCAGGGGAATCCGTGGCCTAGAACTTCCTCACCTGTTCCTCATTTGTTTTGGTGGGCGCTGGCCTGCTGAATTTCGAACCCTCGGACGACTCCGTTGCCGGAGTGGGGGTTCGTTCGACCGGCACTGTACAAAGCGCAAAGAGGCGAGTGGCCCGAATAGAGTTATCAGATCCGCAAATGTCCCGGCGAGACACGCTACCATTCGGGCCCTGGCTTGGAGCCCATCCAATCAGTGATCGGAGCGTTAAAAGATCTGATAAGATAATTAATGGCGCAACCGAGGCGAAACCGAGGGTAGTGCGCATCTTTAATTTGCTAACCGTCTTGCAATCTGCGTACGTAATGTGACAAGAAGGTGGGATGCACTTGGTCATTGGTCATTGGAGCTTGGACCTTGGACTCGTTGCTTCTGACTGCCGCCAGACTGGGCAACTCGGATATATCACCTGCCACCCATCCCAGAAGCCGAAAGAGGACTCTGTGCCTGGTCAATATCCCTTTTCTGTTTCTCTCCAGCCCATGCAGAAAGGGTATTTCCAGTTGTATCACCACCGCCGCAAGTGTGGGTGCCATCCGGGTCTTCTGGTCTGAACCAAGATGCACTGCCCGCGCTACTTTTCCGCCTAAGGAAGACAGGCCCCAATAATGACATACATACATGAGCCTGGCGTGGTGCGCTTGACGAGCTGACTCCCGATATGAAATAGTTTGGCAAGCTTGGCGAATATCTAAACTGGTCACAAATATATAGCCCAGACACTTAGCGAAGGTGGTTGCCTACTCTGATACCGATGACGATGGCGACGGCGATGCAGAATACAGAATGCTCTTTCTCCCCTCCTCCCCCTCCCCCCCCCCACCAGCAATGAAGATCCCCATAAGTTCAGCAAGACCCCGATGCTGGTCAGCTCCACAATGCTCCACTCGTACCAAACTAGCTATTCATAGTGTAGGGTATTCTCTAGTGCGTGGACTAGGTTATAGTAGTGTCCCTAACCGTCCCTCCCATACCGATGGCCGGAACGTGGAAGGAACTTGTTACCTTGCCAAACAAAGCTTTCCCACCCGGAACCTGCCTACGCTAGTTGATGTGACAACAGCTAGTTCCATATCCCAGTCGCATCCCACGGCAGATTGGTCAAGGCCGAAACCAATAGCCCCCGAAAACCGGCGAAAGGGCTGATCGGCCCCCCCTCCCTCCCCCTTCACAAGCCTGCCCCTTCTGGAAGGCGGGAAATCTGCAAGGCCAGGCAGGCCACATGGAAGCTCCAGACCTGCATGAGAGGACACTAAATCTGAGGATCGTGTCCCATGGCCCGGGTTCCAGGGTAGGCCAATATAAGCGAACCCTCTAGGGGGGTGTTGCATATCATAGCTGCCGAGCCGGGAATCTTCCTTATGACGGCACACTCTTCCTCTAGACCTTTTGTGTGTCTTCTGTCTGTCATGTCATGTTGCCGGGCCTTTTTCTTCCTTCCCTAACCAATCACCAAACATGTTGCACCTACCAGACTCGCATCTCCACGCCAACGAGCCTCCTCACCCCAACGGCTCGTATATTGACGGACCACTGGCCGTCCCTCCGGCTACCTTGACTCGGACCGTCGCCGCCCCCGAAGTTGCCCCCTCGGACGTTGGCGATGTCGCCTCCGATCGTGGAATCCCGGAAGCATCAGTGTTGCTAGCCGGGCTTCTCCTCCTCCGCCGGAACAACACCGAGGACCAAGACCTGGGACAGTTCTCATGGGGTTACGTATCCCGAGACGGGACCGACTCGGTCCTACCGCTACCAGATCAATGCGCCTCTCCATCACAGGCGTACCTAGACCCCTATCAGACAATATCAAGCGCGACGACCCTCCTGAACAAGGCACTGGGACGAGATGGGAGCGATATGTGCCCAAAGTTGGGCAACGGCCAGACCCTATTCTTCACCGACGCGGATGCATCGCTGGTGGAAAAGATGCCCCTTGGCGAAATCGACCTGGAGCAAAAGGTAAAGGATGATACCCGCAGACAAGATGACTGCGCTCAGACTCACCTTGGATCTATGCTTACCTTGTCTCCCCAAAAGTGGACCTTCCGACTAGAACTTAGCTCGCTGGACGAGCAGCTCTGCCTCCAGGCACGTTGGCAGGGCCCCTTACTGACCCGAGAGGTGGTGGAACAAAGCCTCGACACTCTCATCGACCTCCTCCACCTAGTCGTCCAGAGGCCAGAAGCACCCGTCCGGGAAGCCCTCGGGCCGCTCGAGCGGGACCTCGAGCAGATCTGGACATGGAACGCCGACCTGCCCGCCAAGATCGACGTGTGCGTCCACGACATGGTCTCCGACTATGCCGCGCAGCGGCCCGACGCGCCCGCCGTGTCGGCGTGGGACGGCGAGTTCACCTACGGCCAGGTGGAGGCGCTCTCGAGCCGCCTCGCCGCCGACCTCGTCGCCCTCGGCGTCGCCCTGGGGACCCCCGTGCCGCTCTGCTTCGAGAAGTCGAGGTGGACCGTCGTCGCCGTCCTGGCGGTCATGAAGGCGGGCGGGACCTTTGTGCTCACGGACCCCAGCCAGCCGCAGGCCCGGCTGCAGACCATCGTCGAGCAGACGCGGGCCCGGGTCGTCGTCTCGTCGAAGCTGCAGGAGGACTTGGCCGGCCGTATCTCCCCCGGTGGCCAGGTCCTCGTAGTGTCGGACGCGTTGTTGGAGCGCGGCACCGGCGCCACCGAGCAACCGCCAATAGCCCTTCCGTCCGTGCCGGCAGACACGCCGATGTACATCATCTTCACCTCCGGCAGCACGGGGAAGCCGAAGGGCGTGGTGATATCGCACGCCAACTACACCAGCGGCGCGCTGCCTCGGGCCGAGGCGGTGGGCTACAGGAAGGATCTCCGCGTGTTCGAGTTTGCCTCGTACGCCTTCGACGTCAGCATCGACTGCATGCTGTGCACGCTCGTCACGGGCGGCTGCATCTGCGTGCCGTCCGACGAGGACCGCATGAACGACCTCAGCGGCGCCATCCGCCGCTCGGGCGCCAAGATGGCCCACATGACGCCGTCGGTCGCCCGCGTCCTGGACCCGGACATCCTCCCGTCCCTCGAGGTCCTGGGCCTCGGCGGCGAGGCTGTGTCTGCCGGCGACGCAGTCTCGTGGAGCAAGCACACCAGCGTGATCATCGCCTACGGCCCCTCCGAGTGCACCGTCGGCTGCACCATTAATAACAACATCAGCGCGTCCAAGGCGTACACTAATATTGGCAAGGGCGTCGGCGGGCTGACATGGATCGCCGACCCCGCCGACCATAACAATCTCGTCCCTATCGGAGCCGTCGGCGAGCTCCTCGTCGAGGGCCCAGTCGTCGGCATTGGATACCTGGATGACCCGGAAAAGACTGCCGAGGGTTTCATCGAGGACCCGCCGTGGCTGCTTGCCGGACACGGGAGCGTGCCCGGTCGCTCTGGAAGGCTGTACAAGACGGGCGATCTGGTCAGCTACGACTCGGACGGCTCGGGGGCCGTTTTCTTCGTCGGGCGGAAAGACCAGCAGGTCAAGATCAGGGGCCAGAGAGTGGAGCTGGTCGAGATTGAGCATCATCTGCACGACAAGGTCCCGGCTGGAGTGAAGACGGTCGCCGAGGTGATCAAGCCGGGTGGAGGGGACCCGACTCTGGTTGTGTTTTTGGAGGAGGGCCAGCCAGCAGATGGGTCTCTGCCCGAGGGCGATGCGGTAACGCTCTCCCCTGCACTTTCCCAGGCACTCCCAGAGATAGATGCGGCGCTTGGGGAAGAGCTGCCCCGATACATGGTGCCGACAGCTTATATCCCTCTCGCAACGATCCCCTCGCTTGTCTCTGGAAAAACAGACCGCAAGAAACTCCGAGAGCTGGGGGCTTCGATGACCCGTCAGCAGGTCGCAAGCTTCAGGGTCGTCGCCGACAAGAGCCGGCCGGAGACCGAATCGGAACGCGCGCTCCACGGCATCTGGACACAGCTTCTCGGGACTACGGGCGAGATTTCCCTGAGCGACAGCTTCTTCGCGCTCGGAGGCGACTCCCTCAAGGCGATGAAGCTCGTTGCCGCAGCGCGGGCCGAGGGAATATCCCTGACGGTGGCGTCCATCTTCACCCACCCGACGCTGCGGGACATGGCGGCGACGGCACAAAAGGCCAGCACCGACACTGAGACGACATCCCCGCCGTTCTCCCTCCTGGACGACGGATGGACGGCTGAGGCAGCCAAGGAAGAGGCTGCCAGGCTCTGCGACATTGACGAGTCCACCGTCGAGGATATCTACCCCTGCACGCCTCTTCAGGAGGCCCTAATGGCGCTGTCTGCCAAGATCGAGGAGGCGTACGTGGCGCAGAGAGTCCTGGATCTAAAGGACTTGGACACGGCTCAGAAGCTCCAGGCAGCGTTCGAGATGGCGGCGGATGACTGCCCCATTCTCCGCACGCGAATAATTCAAGTTCCCGGCCGCGGGTTGGTCCAAGTCGTCGTGAAGGAGAAGATCCAGTGGAAGACAGCAAACTCTCTTCAAGAATACCTTGACCAGGACAGGACTGACCACATGGGGCTGGGCAAGCACCTGGTCCGATACGGACTGGTTTCCGACAGCAGCTCCGAGAAGATATCGTTTGTCCTGACCATCCACCACAGCCTCTACGACGGGTGGTCCATGCCACTGGTGATCGACCGTGTCAACCGCGCGTACCAAGGCCTGTCCACACACCGACCCGCCGCATTCAAGGACTTCATCCATTTCCTCAACAAGCTCGACCGCGGAGCCTGCGAGGACTTCTGGCGCGAGCACCTCCACGGCGCAACGGGGCCGCAATTCCCCCCGCTGCCATGGGAGGGGTACCAGGCCCGTGCAGACTCGCTGCTGGAGCTGTTCGTCCCACTGGTCCAACGGCCCGCCTCCAACACGACCGTCGCGACGGTGATCCGCGGAGCCTGGGGCCTGGTCGCGTCCAACTACACGGCGTGCGACGACGTCGTGTTCGGCGAGACCCTCACAGGCCGCAACGCGCCGATCTCGGGAGTCGACCAGATCGAGGGGCCCATGATCACGACGGTCCCCGTGCGGGTGCAGGTCGACCGCACAGTAAGCGTGGCCGAGTACCTCCAGGCCATCCACGACCAGACCGTTGCTCAGATCCCGTACGAGCACACCGGCCTGCAGCACATCCGGAGACTCAGCGACGATGCCCTGCAAGCCTGCGAGCTGCGGACTGGCCTGGTGCTGCACCCGGGCACGGACGGGGAGGAGGATCTTGCTGCGCCCGTAGACGACAACCAGCCGGCTAATGGTCTCGTCCCTGCAGGCGATGCCGAGGCCGCCCAGGAGGCGCTCAAGTTCAACACATACTCGATCATGCTGGTCTGCTCCCTGAGCCCCAAGGGGTTCCTCGTCATGGCCAGCTTCGACTCCAAGACGGTGGACAAGCAGACCATGGAGACGGTGCTGGACCAGTTCGGCCTGGTGAGCCGCCAGCTCTGCGAAGGAACCGACAAGTGCATCAATGACATCGAGTACCTCACCGAGGCTGACGGGAAGGAAATCCGGCGCGTATCTGCTATTAGTGGTGCGAATGTGGGATTCCTCGGGGATAAATACAAGGACATCACGGCGGCATGGATTGTCGATCCCGCCGACCCCGAGCGCCTGCTTCCGCGGGGGGCAGTCGGCGAGCTCATTGTCGAGACCCGGCAGGAGGAGGAGGAGGGGCTTGATCTACCAACACTCGAGAAGCCCAAGTGGCTGCTCGCCCAGAGCGCCGACGAAACACATCCGGGGCGCCTCGTCAGGACCGATCTTCTGGCCAAATTCGAACACGATGGCTCCCTAGTCAAGATCGGCTCCAAGAACGCATCGACAGCCAAATCAGCAAAGGTTCCCAAGGCAAAACCGACGGCGGTGACGGCTGCCTCCAACAAGCAGAAAAGCCTCCGGAATCTCTGGAGCCGCGTGCTGCGCATGGACGAGGACGACATCAGTCTGGGCGACAACTTCTTCCGGCTCGGGGGCGACTCGATCACGGCGATGAAGCTAGTGTCGGAGGCGCGGCTCGATGGCTTCGAGCTGAGCGTGGCCCAGGTCTTCGCAAACAGGTCTCTCTTCGACATGGCCAATGCCCTGCAGGGCGCTCCCGCCAAGCAAGCGGAGGACGCGCCCGTTACCCCGGTCACGCCTTTCTCCCTACTGGAGATGCCAAACGTCGAGGAATTCGTCGAGCAGAGCATCCGGCCCAGACTGGCCGACCGCGCCTGGAAGATAGCCGACGTTCTGCCCGTGCGGCCGCTCCAGGAGATCGCCATCAAGGGAACCGTGGATGTGCCGAGGTACTCGATGCGGTACGAGATGCTGCACTTTGACTGCCCCATCGACGGGCCCAAGCTGCTCAGGGCGTGCCAGGAGGTGGTCGCGCGGAACGAGATCCTCCGGACGGTATTCACCGAAGTCGAGGGCACCTACTTCGGCGTGGTGCTGGATCAGCTGCTCGCGCCGACAACCGAGTACGACGTGCAAGACGACGTCGAAGCCTTCGTCCGCAAGGTCTGCGAGGTGGATGTGCAGGAGCGGACAACATTGGGGAGTTCCTTCGTCAAGTTCTTCCTCGTGCACGGCGCCGACGGCGGCAAGAGCAGTCTCATCTTCCGCATCTCGCACGCGCAGTACGACGAGATGTGTCTCCCCATCTTCCTACACCAGCTCTCGGCCCTCTACGAGGACCGCCCTGTGCCCGAGTCGACGCCCTTCTCCGCCTTCGTCCACCACGTCGTCCGCGACAATGTCCCGCAGGGAATCGCCTACTGGCGCGACCTCCTCGAGGGGTCCGCCCTCACCGTCCTCCGCCCGGACATCCCCCTCACGGCGAGGCGCCACCACGCCATCCAGCACACCGTCGACATCTCGGCGCGCCCCCGCGACGTCACCGTGGCGACGCTGCCCACCGCCGCCTGGGCCCTCTGCCTTTCGCGGCGCCTCGGCTTGCGCGACGTCACCTTTGGCGAGGTGGTCAGCGGGCGCAACATGTCGCTCCCGGGGGGCGCCGGCGACGCGGTTGCGGTGGCGGGACCGTGCTGGCAGTACGCGCCGGTGCGGGTGCGCATGGCGGCCGGGTGGACGGGCGCGGACCTGCTGGAGGCGGTGCAGCACCAGCACATTGCCAGCTCGCGGTTCGAGGGCATGGCGCTGCCCGAGGTGGTGCGCCTGTGCGGCACGGGCTGGCCCGCCGACACGGACTGGTTCGACTCGGTCGTCCACCAGGACGTCGAGCATGTCGAGGACTTGCCCTTCCTGGAGGCGCGGTGCCGGACCGAGACGCTGTATCTGCACGAGGAGCCCCTGCGCGAGTGGAAGGTTCAGGCCTTCCCGCAGGGTGACTCGCTCACGCTTGAGATCGTCACGTTTGAGTCGTGGGCGCCGTTTGCGGAGGAGCTGCTGAGAGACTTGACTGATGCGATGGAGACGTTGGTGCGGAGACCATGGGAGGCTATTGTAATTGAGTGAATTGATGCGGAAAATGATTGGACATGACTGAGTTTTTCTTTTCTTCATGTTTGGAAGGGGATTGTAATTACATTCTATCGAACACATGTTGTTGACAGGGGTAAATTAGAGGCAAACAAGCAATTTGACTGTGCTACTACGGCAGGCATCGTGACTCGGTTTGTGGCTTGGGAGGCTGGCAGGCTGGGTAACCCGCACGGACCATAATCGTTGCGTTCCACCACCCCCATATCCAGACCTCCGGCCAAAAGAAGACCGACAAGCCGCCAATCAGGCAGCTGGCGCTGGGTAGCGAACCTCAAGATAATCCATGGGCATGCGGCTGGGTGTCTCTGTTTGTGTCACTCATTTCGTACACAGTGGATCGTTGCGGGTGCGCGCCCGCTAGCTCCAGGGCTGTGCCTCCGTAACCAAGCAAGTGAGTGGTAGCGGTGGCTTCGTCTTGGATGCTTTAGCACGTCTGACAGCACTTTCTTGTCATCGGAATTGGGTGCACTTTAGCCTCCATAATCGTATCACCGCCCATGCCAGCTACGCTAGAAGTCCCGGGCCGCGGTCCCATCACGACCTATGAGTCGGCCTCCAAGGAAGAAATTCAACGTCATCAGCCGCCTTGCGCATGGTCCGGGCGTCAAGGCGCTGGCCGACGACCTCTGGCGGCAGAGAAAGTCGATCGAGGCTCTCACTCGACAACATCTTGGGCTGGGCAAGCACGACATTTGCACCGTTCTAGAGCGCCACGAATGGATCCGAGGCGGCTTCAATATATGCGTCTTACTCGACGTAGAGTCCGGCGGGCAGTCTAGGAAGGTCATATTCCGTTGCGCCATGCCGCATAAGCTTGCTGAAGCTAGGTACTCCGGTACCGTGGATGAGAAGCTTGGCTGCGAGGTTGGGGCATATGTGTGGATGCAAGAGAAGTGCCCTGATGTCCGCATCCCGCATCTCTATGGCTTTGGATTTTCAGACGGCCGCCATGTAAGCCTCGTCTCTGTCTCTTGGTTCACACACCATGTTGCTAACATTGTATACCCAGTTCACCAATGCGTGCCACAGGCCATTTTTGTTCCGCATTTCACACATGTTCTGGCGCTGCGTCTACGGGCTGCTCAAACTTCCGGTCCTCTCCCAGTATGCCCGCAACACAGCCCACCACAGTATATGTTCTGCATACATACTCCTGGAGTATATCGCCTCCAAATCAGGGCAGATGCTGTCAAACACGTGGGACAAGTATAGAGGCAACCCTGCCCACAGGCAGAGACTATTCCACGGAATGTCAAAGATCATGCTTTCGTTGGCACGTCTCCCTCAGTTGCAAATTGGGGCCTTCCAGTTTAATAATGACGGCACCATAACGCTGACAAACCGGCCCCTGTCTTGCTCCATCGTACTCTTAGGGAACGACGGCGCGCCAAGGACAATGCAGAGGAACGACACAGACAAATGCACCGACGCTTTCGTGTCAGAGATGCTCACCTTTCACGATCATCGCTTCCTCGGCCAGCCAAACGCTATGTGTAGCGGAAGCGATTGTCGTGGTCAAATGGCCGTAAAGACCCTGCTCCGGGCATTCTCGCACCGGTATATCAAACGGGAATCCCGTCACGGGCCTTTCCTTCTCCAGCTCACCGACCTCCATGCAAGCAATATCTTTGTTGACCATGACTGGAATATCACATGCTTGATAGACCTGGAGTGGCTCTGCGCGCTCCCTGTAGAGATGCTCAACGTGCCGTACTGGCTTACCGGGTGCAGCATTGATGAGATACAAGGCGAACGCTATGGCGAGTTTGACAAGATACAACAGGAGTTTATGCACATCTTACAAGTGCAGGAGCGCAGGACAAGAGCCAATCACGGAATCACAATCTCGAAAGTCATGCAGGATATGTGGGAGTCCAAGGGAATATGGTTCTGGGATTGCCTGTCTTCTGTAAACACCATGTATTTTCTCCTCGAAGGCCACCTCTGCCCCCCAGGCTTCCTGTCCCTCAACGTTGAGAGAGCTGTGTCGCAGTTCTGGTGTGAGGATTCAGAAGGAGTGGTTCAGACAAAGCTGGCTGATAGGGAGGACTATGACGCTGAGATGAAGCGGGTATTTGGCGAATGAGCGGGCACGCCGTGTCAAGGTGTCGAAGGGATGTCGTTGCAGAATCTGAGTGGAAAAGGGGCAAAGAATGGAGGGAGGGAGGGAGGGAGGGAAGTTGTGGGGGGGTTGAAGCGCTTGATCGGAATGTAGATAGTCGTATCCACGGAGACAGATATGTCGCTCTCGTGGTCCGGTTGTCACCCATTCCATGCTTTCTCCTCCTTTTCCTTTTCCTTTTCCTTTTCCTTCTTCCTTGCATTAGCCTTCCTCTTGGCACGAGCAGCGTCGCCCGACGAGATGGCAGTTGCCATGTCTTGGGCCTTGCCACTCATGCCAACGGATGCTTGGTCGACGACACCCCCTGTACTCACCGGAAGAGTGATCGCCACCGCCTCCGCCATCACTTTTGCCTCCGGTGTCAGCCATCGTTGAACTGGGCTGTAGCTGTGAGCAAGCACTAGGTAAGGTCAGCTATGAGAGATGAAGAGGCGTGATGAAGGGGGGCGTAGAATGTCTCCAGATCCAGGAAATCAAGCCTTATAAGCGTCCAACGTCTAGCCGGCCAGGCTGCCCACTACACGAGTGAGTGCTGCATACCATAACACCGGCGTGGTAGGCGGTTCACTACCACTGTATCCTCGTTCCCTGGTCACTGTTTTTGTGACTTACTTTTGGTAGCCTAAGCAGGCACGCTTTTGACTTCAACCATCATGCATTCGTTGGCTTGGATACCTCGCCATGTGGTGCCAAATGAAATAAAAGGCTGGCCAGCTCTTTGCAGACGAGAAATTCACCGTTTTATTTGCCTTCTATCACAATGACCGGTCGTGTCGGGACATTCTGACTGTTCCCCAAATAGTATCATCTTCGCAATTGACACGGATGTCCAACCCCTGGGCACAGGACAGAAACCGTTCTCAATTCAACAGAAACCCCTTCCACATCGTATGTGCCACCGTCAACTCGGGCCTACCTACAGATGGGCGTACTTCTTGAAAGCGGACAACAGCCCACCAGTCGAGGCATCGTGGCCCTCTCCGTTGCCAGGCTCGTCGATTTCCCTTTTCGTGTCACACGTTAGCTCCCATCCGGACATAGGTCATCGCCAGCATCTTCGTCAAGGAATAGATAGACAGGGACTCACTTCAGGATCTTCTTGGCCAGCACCTTGCCCAGCTCGACGCCCCACTGGTCGAAGCTGTTGATGTCCCAGACGGCCCCCTCAGTGAAGGTCAGGTGCTCGTAGTAGACGATGAGGGCGCCCAGCTCGGCGGGGCCAATGTGCCCGCCCACGAGCACGCTCGTCGTCGGCCGGTTGCCGAGGAAGACCTTGTGCGGCACCAGCGCGTCCGCCACGCCGCCCTCGGCCCGCACCTGCTCCGCCGTCTTGCCCACCATGAGCGCCTCCGCCTGCGCGAGGTAGTTGGACGCCAGCATCTTCTGGTGCAGGTTATCCGAGATAGGGTTGTGCGACTTGGCCGCCAGGATGAAGTCGGTCGGGATCAGCTTAGTGCCCTGGTGCACGAGCTGGAAGAAGGAGTGCTGCGCGTTGGTGCACGGCTCGCCGAAGAGGATGGGGCCTGGGGGGGGTGGGGGAGGAATTAGCGGGCTTGGAGGGATACCTAGCCTATGAGGGAGATATGAACTTACCCGTCGTGTACTTCGCCGGCGTCCCATCCGACGTGATCGTCTTGCCATTCGACTCCATCGACAGCTGCTGGAGATAGGCCGGGAAGCGGTGCAGGTACTGGTCAAAGGGTGCCACCAGGTGCGTCTGGGCGTTGAAGAAGTCCGAGTACCAGACGCTGAGCAGGCCGCCGAGGGCCGGGATGTTCTCCCTCAGGGGCGCCGTGCGGAAGTGCTTGTCCATCTCGTGCGCGCCGGCCAGGAAGCGGCGGAAGTTGTCGTATCCAATGTACAGCGACACGCTCAGCCCGATGGCACTCCACACCGAGTAGCGCCCGCCAACCCAGCTCTCGAACCCGAACATGTTCTTGGCGTCGATGCCGAACTTGGTCACCTCGGCCTCGTTGGTCGACAGCGCCACAAAGTGCTTGGCGATCTCGCCCTTGCCGCCCGTCTTCTCGAGGAACCACGCCTTGGCCGTGTTCGCGTTGGTCGTCGTCTCGGCCGTCGTGAACGTCTTGGACGCGATCAGGAACAGTGTTGTCTCGGGATCCGATGCCGCGAGAGCCTCGGCCATGTGCGTGCCGTCGATGTTGGAGACGAAGTGCAGCGTCATGTCCTTTGCGCCGTAGTGCTTGAGCGCCTCGGTGACCATCACGGGGCCGCTATTGAAAAGGAAAAGTCCAGTTAGCAGGAAGGTCTGTCTCTACTGTGTGTGGTGTCCACAGGCGAGGGATCAACGGCAAAAAAAGAGTACTCACAGGTCCGACCCTCCAATCCCAACGTTGACCACGTTCGTGAGCTTCTTCCCCGTGAAGCCAGTCCACGACCCGCTACGGATCTCCTCAGAGAAGACCTTCATGTGCTCCAGGACCTCGTTGACACCCCCTTTGGAGTTCATGACGTCGACGCCGTCAACCTTCATGTCCCAGTCGCCGACGTTCCGCAGCGCCGCGTGGTAGACGGCGCGGTCCTCGGTGAAGTTGATCCTCTCGCCGGCGAACATGGCGTCGCGCTTCTTCTCCACGCCGGCCTGCTCGGCCAGCTTGACCAGCAGGTCCAGCGTCTCGTCGGTCAGGAAGTTCTTGCTGAAGTCGAACAGGATGTCGGTTCCGCCGCCACCGGGGCACGAGGCGACGCCCTCCGGGAGCACAAAGGTGCGGCTGAACTTGTCGAAGCGCTTGGGGTCCGAGGCGAAGGCCTCCTTCAGCACGAATGACTTGCCGACGCTGTCGCGGTGCGACTGGAGGTCGGACCAGGCCGGGAGGGTGTTGGCGGGAGCCATTTTGAGTCGATGGGGGGGAGAAGAGAGAGAGAGAGAGTTTCTTCGAAATGGAGGATTGACGACGGAAATAAATCCTTTGTTGAAGGGATCAATTGCAAGTTAGTTTATGCTTGCAGAATGCAACACCAAGGTAGGCAGTGTGGGCTGAGCAAACAGGCAAGCAGAGGGATGAAATATCATGACGTTTATGTCACTGGTTGGGTGCTTGGCGGGGTAAACACAATTCTGTGACGGCGGGGCATAATACACACCAGTTAGAAGCTGTCAGATCAGTTTCACGGTTGCCGCCAGAGCTGGTTATAAAACAGAGCTGTGGGTTTTAATCCTGGAGTTTCGTTCCTCTAGAGACGGGACTCAGCTTGGGGGGGTGTAGCTTCAAACCAAAAAGGAGCCTGGCAAGTATTGACAAGGATGCAAGCTACCACTTGAAGCTGCCCGTCATGTGTTCCATGCTTTTTGTCTCATTGAAGTGGGCTGCTGTGTCTGGTGGGGCTCCTTCTAACCAATTTTCCTCATTTTCTGCCCCGCACCGGAGTTCGGAGAGGGGGGAACCCAACGAAAACGGGAAGAAAGCCACGAAAACCTCTAATCACCCTCATCAACCCAATTTTCCCCAGCCCCACCACTATCGTGAGTTGTAGTGGATGCCCCCTGGCTTGTGTGGGTAATGATGGCCGGAAGTAAGTTAGACCCAGCGAGAGCGGCGTCTGTTGAGGAATTGAAATTGGCAGCAACTGCAGCAACTGCAGCAACAGCAACTCACACCTGATCAGCGATATCTTCGCGCGAGGGACACCAATGGCAGCTTCGTTGACGAGCATACCTGCCTATCTACATCTTCACCTTCGTAGTCCGTAAAACGAGAGTCCCCGGAAGCCGCCAGCACCGTAAACCCCACTGCGACCATGCCAGAAACCCCGGCGCAAAGGATAGGTAGTTTTTGATGCGGGAGAATGGAAAAGAGGATCGGTCAATATGCGTGCCACTCCGCCTCCCACCTCGCCCCTCCCCCGCGTCGTGGGTTGCACAACTGCTTCCTGCCTCATCTGCTAGAGCTGTGGATTGGAATAAGGGCACCAGCCTCATAGTCTGTTGTCCACCCGACTCTAACTAAAAGAAAGAAAACCAGAGATGCCACTTGCTGCTGTCATGGACCAGCCTAAAACCCCGAACCCTGTCTCTCACCATTGGGTATTTGTCGCACTGCAACCTTACTCTGCCTCGTTGGAAAGCGCTTCGAGCGTCCTTCCCACCAACCTCAACCAGCTCTGCGACCGATCAATTGCATGCATGGCTGGCTGGCTGCCATACATGCATGTGTGCAGGCTTGAACGCGCCCGCCCTTATCGCCGATCTTGGATGCTGCCCACAAACGAGGGATCCTTCACACTACCGCCCGCATCGCCGAGGCCCGCAATGGGCCGGTTGTAGCTGAAACCGGTGAACTGGTTTTGCATCGTCTCCGAGAGCACGGGGCCTTCGACGTACGAATCCTGCGGCGGCTCCGACGTGAACTCGGGGTCGAAGTTGGCCGTGTCGAGGGCATCGACCTGGAGAGGGGGGAGAAAGAGAAGGTGCTTGTTAGATAGGCTGAATTTCGGAGATGGTGTGACGTAAGGGACCTAGGAGGGGAGGGAGGGAAAGGTAGATACGTACCACGTTGGGCTTGAACGCAGGCTCATACTTCCGCTGCAGCAACTTCCGCCAATCTATGGCGTGGAAGAAGGGGTGCGCCTTGATCTCAGCCGAGCCATTAGCTCCTAGACGATGCTGAGGATCACGGTTCAAAAGCTTCGTTAGCAGGTCCTTGGCCGCCGGCGGCACCACCTCGTGGCCTGGGAAGTGTAGAGGCTCGCTCAAGATCTTGCGATACATCTCGTTGGTGTTCTCGTCGTAGAACGGCGGCAGCCCCGTCAACATCTCGTACAGGAGAACCCCGAGGGTCCACCAATCGACCGTCTTGTTATAGCCCTGTCCCATAAGCAGTTCGGGGGCGAGATACTCGGGCGTGCCGCAGAACGTGTTCGTCCGGTCCTCGTCCTTCATGTCGAGCTTGCAGAGACCGAAGTCGCAAAGGGCGATGTGGCCCTGGTAGTCGAGCAGGATGTTCTCGGGCTTGAGGTCGCGGTAGATGACGTTGAACCCGTGCAGGCACTCAAGGGCACAGAGCAGCTCGGCTGTGTAGAATCGACTGCGGTTAACATCGAAGCGCTGCTCTTTCTGCAGGTGGTGGAACAACTCGCCGCCGTTGACGAAGGCCAAGACAAAGTACAGCTTCTCGGGGCTCTGGAAGGTGAATTTAAGCGGCACAATGAAGGGGTTGTTGATCTGCGCGAGGACGGACCGCTCCGCCAGCGTGTGAGCAACCTCAGACCGCGAGATGATGTGGGCCTTGCGAATTGTTTTGAGGGCGTAAATCCGGTACGTGTCCTTCTTCCGGACCTGCATCACCTTTCCGAAGCTACCCTTGCCCACAACCTTGAGCAGCTCAAAGTCCTCAATCTTCAGCTTGCCCGCCCGGTTCTCGACGTACTCGACCCCGATCTTCAGCTTGCCCGTGCCGTACTGGACGTCGACCCATTGCTCGCCGTGGAAGCCGAGCGCCCGCTCCCGGTTCGCGTGCTCGGCCGCCGCCTTCTCCCGGTCCTTCTTGCTCGCCTTGGGGTCCTCGACGTACAGCTGCCGCTCCTCGAATCTCGGGTTGATGCGCACGACGCCGAGGAAGATGTCCTGGCTTCGGCCCGAGCCCTGCGTGGCGTTGGGGTTCCGCATATAGAGATGGACCGCCAGCTCCGTCACTCTCGACACGTCGAACTTGTATTGTGTATTCGATCCCGCCCACAGGGGGTTCTCGGGTGTGCCCTCGACCGAGTTGACAAAGACCTGGACCTTGTCGAAATCCAGCAGGGCATATGGCATGTACTTGGTCGAGATGCGGCCGTGGTTGGTGGGGATGCCGCTGAACCCGCCCGACGAGGTCTGCGGCCTGGCCGAACCGTTTACGAAGGAGCCCGTGGCTCGCTGGGACGAGCTGGGGCGTATGGAACCGGCCATGTTCAGGGCATTTCCTGTCGACAACGAGGCGCCGGCATGTTGTTGGCCAAAAGTACTTCGATGCTGCTCGGGGAGGGAAAAGCCCTGGCCTTCGTGGAGAGTGATGACAAGGATACCGGGCTTTGGGGTCTTAACCACAGGTGCCTGGGTGAGGGCTTCTGAGGCGGCTAGATATCGAAGTCAGGAACGGTCTTGGGAGAGTGGCAGGGGGGAAAGGGGGGGGGGGGAGGGGGTGTAGGGGAACAGGGCACAACATACCAATGGTATTTTCATTGCTAGGAGTCGGAGAAGGCGATATGGCGACCTGGCTCTTCTCGTCTTTGTCGGTAATGGTCGAAGTTGAAGGAGACCGAGAGAAGGTGTTGGCCAGAGGACCCAGATGGGTATCCTTCAACTCTGCAGATGGCAGTGTCAGCTGGGGGGAGGGCCAAGATGGGGTGAGGAAGATATCAGAGGTGTTGAATGAGCAGTGGATTACACTTCCAGGGCAAAGATTGGAGAGATATCAGGTGAGTGAGCATGGACAAAGGGCATACATACTCTTGGTCAGTTTCCACGACATATTCATGGCCTATGTCAGGCCTCTCGAGAGAGGGTCTAGGGGGAAAGAATGTGGAAATATCGGGCCGTAGGTAAGAGGGCGACAACAAACAAAGAAAAAAGAAGGGATGATAGGCTGATATCAAAGGTGAAGGGATGGAATTGTGGCGATGATGTAGGTATCGCGGAGAAATCGGTGATGGGAAGTTGGTCCGAGTGGGCACGGCGGGCACCACGGACTGACTTCGAAGCAGGAGTCGAGGTGGGGCGCCAATGCAGCAGCGTTGCAGTGTGGCTGCGCCGGGCTGAGCAACCTGGGTCAGCAGAAATAGCAGCGCGGGACCAGTATCCGTAGAGTGGCAACGACAGGCATGCAATGCAGGTAAACGAACTGCACTGCTTAGGACATTTGAATAGGTTGTTTCTCTCACTGTCCTTGCCTCTGTCTTTTCTTGCAGAAATGTGAAGGTGGTGGCGGAAAAGACGGCGTTCAGCCACTTCCGAGACCCCCTCACACCAAGTTGAAGGGGGCTTTCACAACTTGTATGTACATAGTACGGATCCGTGGTGCCAGGATAATCCGTACAAGCCCCGGATTCAGGCTACGTACCCCTTCCTTTGTAGGGGAGGCAGCTTCCCCGCCAATCTCACTTTTCCTTTCAGAGCCCCCTAGACTTGTTCATTCATATGCATGGCCCTCATGGAGACAGCCAGGCACATTCAGGTTCCTTTCAGAAGCATAAGCCGGGCAGCCATATGAGCCTGAGGTACATACTTCGTACTTTTAGGCGACGGCCTGCCCCGCATTCAAACCCAGATATGGAAACTGGGTGGACCCAGCCTGGGCCTCGGTACCTAGGTACCTACCTACCTAGGTGAGGCTGTGCGGAATGGATAAACTTCTATTCCGGCCCCGCCAGCTCCCGTCCCGCTACCAGTTTTTTTACGATGGAAAAAAAAAACGAAAAAGTACTCAAGTTGAAGTCAGTCCCAAGACACCAAAGGCACCCCCAGGCAGTGAAGACGTCCAATTCCTCGTCATCATGGCCAAATCCACAGCTGTTACCAAGACGGCGACCGCGCCTACATCGCTTGTAGCCCCTGAACAGGTCCGTCCTCCGTACTTCAACCCTGGCGATTGGCATATGTACTAACTGACCTGGCCCTGCAGACTCTTAAAGCCTCCAAGGCGCTGCTTGCGCATATCAAGAAGGCCACGGCCGAACAAGTCGCCTCTGATACCAAGAAGGACATCCTGGCCGATCCCGAGTCGCCAGAAGCCGAAGTCCCCGTCTATCTGACATTGACGACGAAGCGACATATACACGATACACACCGCCTGCAGCCGGGCAAGATTCCCATCCCGCATTCCCTCAACACCGACCCCGAGTCCACCATTTGCCTCATCACCGCCGAGCCCCAGCGCGCCTACAAAAACATTGTTGCGTCAGAGGAGTTCCCCGAGGCACTACGGAAGCGCATCACAAGGGTCATCGATCTGTCCAAGCTGAAGTCCAAGTACAGGGTCTTCCAGGCACAACGGAAGCTCTACGCCGAACACGAAATCTTCCTCGCCGATGATCGCATCATCAACCAACTGCCCAAGGCGCTGGGCAAGTCGTTCTACAAGTCCACCACCAAGAGGCCCATCCCCGTCGTGCTGATGGCGTCGAGAGGGAAGGTCGACGGGAAGCGCGCCCCCCTGCCGAAGGGCAAGAAGGAGAAGCGCGACCCGGCCGAGAACCTCAACGTGCGACCGACGGCTGAGATAGTCGCCGAGATCGAGACGGCCCTGAGCTCGGGCCTGGTGTCGCTGAGCCCGTCGACCAACACGGCCGTCAAGGTCGGCTACGCCAACTGGGCGCCCGAGCAGCTTGCCGCCAACGTGGACACCGTCGCCGCCGCCCTGGTCGACCGGTTCGTCCCGCAGAAGTGGAAGAACGTCCGGAGCATCTACATCAAGGGCCCCGAGACCGCCGCGCTGCCGCTGTGGCAGACCGACGAGCTCTGGGCAGATGAGGCGCAGATCGTCGCCGATGGGGCGGAGAACGTCAAGGCGATTGGCGCTGGAAGTGGGGAGAAGCCCAACATTGGGAAGAAGCGAAAGTCGCTGGACGCCGGTGATCTCGATGGTGAGGCTGAGGGCGAGGGTGAGGGAGCCGTGGAAGAGCCCAAGCAGAAGAAGGGTCGCCCCGCCAAGAAGGCGAAGCTGCCGGAAAGCAATGATGACAAGCTCGACGAGGAGATCTCGCAGCGGAAAGCGAAATTGAAGAAGCAGAAGAAGGCGGCGAAGCAGGCAATGGAGGACTGAGAAAGTCCAGGGCTGGATTCTTTGCGCTTCCTCATGTAATTCGTCATTGCAGGGTGTTTTAGGAGTTGAGGATACAAAAAGGAGACTGTAGACTGGTCTATACAGGGTTGAAATCATATGGCAGATTTTACGGCTCTCCCCATGAATGTCTTTATTTTTTTACCAGGAATGCACCCAATACAGTGTTTGTAGAACATACTCCTCTCTTCTACATGCCACTCAGACCCTCGCTATTATTCAGTCTCCCTATCCACTCGCTCCAGCGCCGGCTTTCGTATCTCTTGTACAGACTTGGAATGACTCTGTAGCCTATACGAGACTCTGGTCGGCCTGGGGAAATCATAAACCCTGCCGATTGACGCTGTTAACTGTTTAGCCTGCTGGCGAAAGAGGAAAAGCGAGAAAAATGGGAGAAAATGGGAGAAATGGGTAATCACGTGAGAAGCCAGCCACAATGAGGTTCAGCCCCATTTCTAGACCCACGGCATCGACCTTGACTGCCAGTCATGCTCAAGATTCATGCCAATCAAGACTCAAGAGCAGGCGTTCAGCATCCGGGTTATTGGTTCTGCACATTGATAGTTCATGAAATTATGATATACGGGCCATACAAGGCTGCACTCCCAGAAACATACGCCTGAAAGACCCTATCGTACCCCCTCCGCGCCAACTTCCTCCACGCCAAATAGAATCACAGCATGCCATAGGAGAGACGGTCCTTATAGCTGGAGCTAGGGGACCTCGTGCATCCTCACTTCTTCCATCCTCACTACTTCCATCCTCAGTTCTTCCATCCTCAGTTCTTCCATCCTCAGTTCTTCTTCTTCTCCACATACACCTCCAGTCCTTCCTGGACGACGAAGAAGGTGGCGAATGCCTTGAGCGGCCGGCTTGGGTGTGCGAGCTCGAACCGATAGTCGCGCAGGAGGCGCGGGCAGACCTTGTTGATCTCCAGCAATGCCAGATTGCGTCCGATGCAGACATGGCTCCCACCGCCGAACTTGAGAAACGTTAGTCTTGCGCGGTCAAATGAGGCGGAAAGGCGAGTGGCCCCTTTTTGTGGGGGGAGGGAATTTCTTACCTGGAACATGTACCTGTCCATAATCCTCGCCGTCTCCTCGTCAGCGAGCCACCTCTCGGGCCGGTAGACATCGACATCGTCGCCAAAGACTCCGCGGTCGCGGTGCAGGACCCAGCCGTTGGCGGCGATGCGGGTGCCGCCGGGGAAGAACTTGCCGTCGAGCTCGACGCCCTCGGGCGGGACGTAGCGGGTGATGTTGAGGCCGACGGCCGGGCGCACGCGCATCGCCTCGCGCAGGCACGCCTGGAAGTAGGGCAGGGCCTGCGACTCGGCCCACGACAGGTTGCCGCTGGAGGGGATGACGCCGTCCCGCACGGCGGCCTCCATCTCGGCCGTCAAGGCGGCGTACACCCTCGCGTCGGAGAGAACGTGCCAGAAGAAGGACTGCATGGTGGAGGCGGTGGAATCGGAGCCGGCAAAGATGGCGCCGTGGGCGACGGCGAACACGTCGCCCTCGGCGAACCGCTCGGGGTCCTTGAGGTGTCCCTGGATCAGACTGGCCATCAGATCGCGGCGCCCGTCGCCGCTCCTCGCCAGGCCGGCGTTGTCCTTGCTGAAGGGTCTGCGGTGTTCCATCTCCTCGAGGGCCATCCGGGTGATGAGGGCGTTCTTGGTGCTCAGGGCGGGGATGAACTTCCAGAGCGGGTTCCTCCTGAGCAGGTGGTCGAATTCGGGGATCTGGCCGATAATGCCGTTGTAGGCCTGCGACTTGTCGATCGTCTTGATGGCGTTGTCGACGTCGCGGCCCTCGGCCAGGAAGCCGAAGCTCCGGCTGAAGGCGACCTCACCGAGAACGTCAAAGGCGAAATAGTGCAGGTAGGCACCAAGGTCGAAGATGGAGCCGGCCTTGGTGGCGCGGTCGTGGTGCGTGGCGATGTGCTGGTCGATCTTGCTCATGAAGGCCTCGATGGTGTCGTTAATGAAGGGGCTAAGCTGTTGCATGGCGGCCATGCTGTAGGGCACGTTGGCGACGCGCTTCTTCTGCGCGTGCACATCCTCGCGGATCTCGGTGAAGATATCGGGGTTCTCGGGCGGCGGGAAGACGCCGTAGAAGTCGGTCTTGTGGAAACGCTTGCCCGCACTCAGGAGCGTGCGTGCCGCCTCGGGGGACGACACGGAGATCTCGTTGGGGGCAATGCGCACAAAGGGGCCATACTTGCGGTGGAGCTCGATGTGTTCGAGGTGAGTATTGCCCGATGCCGTGGAGATGACCTTCCAGAGCCGGGTGAATGAGGCGAGGAAGGGGCCGGGATAGTGGCGCAGAGGTGAGGCGTAGCGCTTGTACAGCAACCGCACAACGAAGGCGCCGGTCAGGACGAGAATCCAGTGTGTTGCAACGAAGGTCACGACAGCACCGAGCAGCACGCGAGTCGGGGAGATGGTGGCCCCCTCGGACTTGATCGCTACGCCCATGGCTAGCTATTGGTGGGATTTTTCCGGGGCCCAATGGTCTGGTCTGTCTCACGAGTTTGACAGACAGGTCAGGCAGCAGGAAGTTTAACCCTTTCTCGGTACTTGGGAGACGGAGGACGCACAACCGTTGAAGTTGACGACGCAGAAAGAGAAGATGGAATTTAAGTACAAGCACAGAAATCGGTATCTCGGTTTGACAAGCTCCCCTCGCCATTTAATACGGATCCCCAATTCACCATGGAGGGCCCCCTGTCAAGACACATCTGCCGACTTGCAGGGAATATTGCCATGAACAGACTGGAAAGCCAACCACGCCATGAGCCTGCCCACATCAGACGCATTGGGGAGGCTGCCATTGGCCGGCGGGGTGGCAGATGGAATGTTCACCCCACCTTGCATTGACAGCTGGGGAGCCTCTCTTGTGCTCGAAGCGGATTGAAGATTACTTCTAGGCGTACCCACGCCTAAATTTAGTCCGTAACATGTGGCAACATGTGGTGTCGTCCCAGCAGCCTGGCTGTCTGGCCAGAGTTTCCTGCCTTCCCACCCCGCAAGCTTTCCCCCCCTCACCCCGCCTTTGCCGCCTTCCACCAGTTTCGTATTCCCGTCTGCAATGTGGACAGTCAAGAACCAGATGCGCGAACGAATTCAGTGCCCGCCCGCTTTGGTTACAATAGTCGAAGCATGGGCTCAGTGGACAAGCCCAAGACGGCGGGGAGCGGAGTGTGCTCGGGTCTCGGGATGACAAACAAATTACTGAGTCCAGTCCAAGACGAAGTTTTCGGCAGTTCGATGCTGGCCCTCACTTTTCCCCAAATCTTCGGAACCCCGCAATCATTCATGTGGAGGCCATGTGGGGTTCCCCGACCCCACACGATACCAAAGTCGAAAAAATTGTGCTGCATGAGGCTGACTGACGGCTGACGGGGCTGACTGACGGCTGACGGGTTTGCGATTGAGAATTCAGATGCCCACAGCACAGCACAGGGGCCCAACGACGACCAGTTTAAATTCCCATGACGTCACTGCTTTGGAGATATATTTCCATAACCTTCCATAAACTTTGGAGGCTTCCATGGAACCCTCATGCTGATAAACGGATCACGATGGCGACATGTCGAAGTTCAGAACCAGTAGATAAGATAAAACGTTCTCCTCAAAGACAGTCAGTGTCTTGGCCAATTACCTAGGTACTGTGGAGTCAGCAGGCAGGACTAGTTCCGTCCAGTAAGCGATGGCTGGAAAAGAAAAAAGTCACGCGGGTGGATTATGGCCAGACCTACTACACTAGGTACCTCCATTGTGGCTACTGCGACTCGGAGGAGGAAACGATATTTATCCTCTCCCTGCCAAGAGCACCCCTCCGAGTCCATGTTGGGGTTTCTGTTGTCGGCTTCATTAATCTTGTCGCCACTCCTTGGCCTTGCTTGAGCTGCCCCATGCATATTCGCAGTCAGCACGGGCGGCATGGTTGCCGTATGATGTGATGTCTTTCCCAAGGCGGGCAAACATTACCGCTACGGTAGAAGTCTGAGCAGGCCCTTCCCCGCCAAGCCTCACCAGTCCCCGCCCCACGATTTCTCCGCCAGGTCAGCCTCCCGCCGCCGCGGCGCGTGGCTTTTCAACCTGGGCAATTAGAGCAATAAAAGCCCCAGAGCTGACATGGGCGAACTGGGGGTTGGCGACGGCGACTAACGAAGACAATGCGCCTGTCGCCTGCTCATCGAGGATCCCGACATAATTACCAGCGTGACCAGCGTCATCACGCGAAGAGCGCCTGCCGGAGGTATGCCGGTGGCTTGCCTTTCCGAATCTTTAATACAATATCTTCCCACTTATTATATGTCATTCCCAGAGCCATCTAGAGCTAGAGCTTGATGGGGGGGGGGGGGGGCGCCCGGCCGCCCGCGGGGGGGGGGGGGGGGGGGGGGGGGGGGGCGGCCGGCGGCCGGGG